CTCGCGAGGGACGCTGATGTGATGATGCCGTGCCGGGAGGAGGATGAACCTGTGATGCAGGAGCTGGAGCTGCTGAAGAGGGAGGAAGCGAAGGCGGAGGCGGAGGCGGAGGAGCAGCAGCTCAACGAGCGGGCGCGCATCCTCTGGCTCGCCAACAGGCAGCGCATCCACGACGAGGCGCCGCGCTACGTCGACGGCCTGCCGGTGCGGGACGTGCTCCGGCCGCCGCGCGTGCGTCTACGTCTGCGTATGCGTCTACGCGGGCGGAGAATGACCGGCTGCCGCCTCGCCGGGACGGCGGCGTGTCTGAACTGCGAGGCGAAGCGGCTGCGGTGCGAGATGGCCGCGCCGGGGGTGAGCGTGCAGGACGCGTGTCGAAGGTGCGTGCGCAACGGCGAGGCGTGTTTGCTGTCGTTGGTGCCGTCGCCATGGTCAGGCGTTGACGAGGACGGGGAGTATCATCACCATCGTCACCAATATCATCATCATCACCAGCACCAGTACCAGCAACAGCAGCCGGGCAAACACCACCCACACCAGAGCGAGTCCACCATGGCAGTCGTCGTAGCTGGCCACGCCGAAGAGAATTCGCAGCAGGAAGAGTACCACGCAAAGGTACGAGCGGCAATGGAGCGGATCCGCGAGGCAAGGGACGGCCCGGCGAGGGTGCGGCAGAGGGGCGATGGGGGATTGGTGATGGCGCGGACGGGGGCGTGGGCGCTGCCGATGAGGAAGAAGCGGGACGACAAGGAAGACTGAGTTTGCGTGGTAGCGTTAAATCAGGGTCAAATTGATATACGAAAAGAGGGTTGTGGGCAAGAAAGAGTTGAGCGAGACGCAGTGCTTGTGCGTGTATGAGGCGGCGCGTGTAAGTCAGGATTGCCTAATCGGGATGCGCGCGCAGCGGAATGCAACTCTAACACCTTAGTACCTTACGTATAAGTTTGCCCTTGTAAGTTGTGACGACATGTCTTGCCCATCTCTCGCGCATGCCCGCCCGTCCCCTCATCAACCTCATCACCACCACCACGTCTCACTTTACTCACACTTCTTCACCTCACTCCCTCCCTCACTCACTCATTCACTCCACCCTCTCCCTTCGCTTCGCTTCGTATTTCGCGTGTGCCCATAGCGCCCCTAAGGAATCATTCGCTCAGGCTTCGGATCAAACCCTCTCAATCGCCGGCCAAAGAACATCGCAATGAATCGCAATTGCTGGCTGCCCCAGGGCTTGGCTGCAAATGCCGGCAGCAACAACAAGCCCCCCGGGCCGGACCTCTCGTCGTACCGCCTCCCGGACGACGAGGCGCTGCGCATCTTCAACGACGAGATCCTCCCCGCCGAGCTGCCCCCGCTGTCCGCTGACCCCTCCGCTTCGTCTCGCGCCGGCGACGACGCGCGCCCCCTCGCCCTGCTCGTCGTAGGCCAGACCGGCGCCGGCAAGACGATCCTCGCGCAGGCCCTCCTCGAGGCCCTCGAGCGCCGCCGCGCGAGCGCATCTCCTCAGCACCCCATCCAACCCCCCGCGCACCTTATCGCAGACACGTACAAGACGTACCACCCGCAGTACACGCGCCTCATGCTCTCCACGCCGCACCTCGCCTCCCCGGCCACGGGGCCCGACGCCCGCCGCTGGCTCGCCATGGCCGCCCGCGAGGTCGCCCGCCGGCGCCTCGACGTGCTCCTCGAGAGCGCCTGCCGCCACCCGGACGACTTTACGCAACTCGCCGCCCTCTTCCGCGACAACGACGCCGCCTACCGCGTCGAGGTCGTCGTGCTCGCCGTCCCCGCCCCGCTCAGCCGCCTCGGCATCTTGATGCGCTTCTACGAGAAGCTGCCCGAGGGCCAGTCGCGCAACCTGCCCGTGCGCCTGACCCCGCGCAAGGTCCACGACGACTCGTACGCGGGGCTGCTCCACGCCGCGGCCTTTCTCGACGGCAAGACTAGAGCCGTTTCGTCTAGAGCAGCGGCAGCTGACCAGGTGCTCGTTGTACGCCGCGGGAATCTCGTCGTCGCGCGGGCGGAGGGGACGGGCGTCGCGGAGGCGCTGCGCGCGGAGAGGGAGCGGCCCCTGACGCAGGCCGAGATGAAGACGGCGCTCGACGACGTGCAGAAGCTGAGCACCCACGAGGAGGCCAAGGAGCAGCTCGACGAGGTGAGGGCCATGCTGCAGCCTCTCCTCAAGGAAGCGGACGCCTCTGCCGGCCAGTTCCCCGCCCTGCTGCCCCTGAAGTTTGCGACGGATGGTGGAAGCGACAGCGGTCAGAACGTGCTTCGGCTTGGAAGAATGTAGCGGCCTTAATGTCGGACCATGAATGTCACAGCGGGAGCGTGCGAGACTGGTTTTCACATCAGGCACAAGCGGCGGCAAAAGAAAACTGTCACATTTCCTAGCAGCAAAAGGGGAAAGGGGAACGTGAAGAAGACTGTCTGTCCCGTTGATGACTTGAATCCTCCTCCCCATGGAGCTGGACTTCCAGTTCCGACGCGTGCCGCAACAGTGACCCGAATCTCGAGATAACAAGGCATTGCTCCCCCTTGTCTGATTCGTTGTTATCAAGGCCCTTCGGATCTTGGGGCATGCCCAAAAAAATCAAAGAAGGTGCGACGCCTCAACGCCAGCTGTAAAGGCCTCGTGAGAAACTACGGCGTCGAAGCTTTCAATCCGGCATTTGCGAGTCATCGTGTGAGAGGTGCCGTCGCTGACGCTAGTCGGCGATGCGAAGCTCGTGGTGCGCTGGCCCACGGACGGCGTCATTCGCAGCAAGACTCGCCACGATGGTCGATGCTGCATCGGCAGATAGAAAATTGGCATCTTCGCCGTTCGAAATCACAGGCACTTGCTTCTTCTGGGGTTGTTTAGCGTTCGTTGGCGTCAAATGCAGGATGCGTCTTCTTCCAGTTGGACACCGTTAGGCATGAAGCATCTTGTATCCTCACCTTGGCACCTGCCACTCGCACGGCCACCGGCTTGACTACCGCGGGTGTAAATGGAGAGGCTCCGCCACCAGACACTCTCTTCGGAGAGCCGTTTGCCATGTCAATTGGATTAGTCTCTGTCAGCAGACTGTTCATTCGAGAGTCCATGGGGCAATCAGTCGGTTCCACGTCAAGACACTGTTCGGCTTGTGCGATTGCTGGAGGCCGCACCCCAGGACAGAAATACTGAGACGGCTCTTCCATCGGTTCGGAGTTGTCAGAGGGGCGCAGACAGTCACTTGGTCGTGTTGCTCTGCTGTCGTAGTAAGAAACGCCGACTCCGGCAATCACATCAGGCAGCTCCATCGGCATGGGCTTCAGCTGTGCCGGCGGCTTCCAGTCAGCCATGCTTCTTCGATCAAGTTCTCGGAACCTTTCGCAAAGCCACTCGGGCTTGCAGAGCCAATCGTGGCACTGCGCCTCCATGGCGGACATGCGATCCGAGGGCAGTACCTGGAGGCAGCGCCACACAAAGTTCTCGCAGTGGGGAGAAAACCTGCCCATTCCGAGGACTTGGCCGTCCTGGGACGTGTCGGAATCCTCTTGGACCGATCCGTCAACGCCATCCGCATCGAAATGCGAGTTGTGTGTTAGCATCATGTGCACGACGATACCAAGCGACCAAATATCGACCGCCGATGTCTGCGAATGGGCCCCGGAACGCATCTCCCTGCAGCATATAAGAATCTTTCAAACCGAGGAGCTGGGGCTGCTACTTACGGCGCCTGGTAGTTTGGCGTGCCGGCGCAGGTGACCATTCTGCTCCGACTGGGAACTGCATAAGCTCCAAAATCCGACAGCATGACCCGGTGGCAGTTGATCTTCGGAGAATAGGCGAGGAGGATGTTTTCGGGCTTCAAGTCGCGATGAACGACGCCCTTCGTGTGGAGATACTGCAGACCGCGAACCACCTGGCGAGCGATAACGCGCGTTTCGTACTCGCCAATGGCGTCGCCCTTGCCGTGGCGATAGATGAAAGACCACAAATCACCGCCCGTCGCAAGTTCGGTGAAGGTATACCTGTGAACTATCAGTCTTGATCGTGTTTCGTGCAAAATTCAATTCTTACAACGTGTAAGGCGATATGATGGCGTCGACATAGGGGACGATGTTTGGCTAAAGGGTCATCAGGACAACCTACGATTGCGTTGGGCAGACATGGATACTCACGTGCTGAAGCTGCCGAAGCACATCAGCTTCCTGCAGCTTGCGTCGCAGCTCCGCTGGTTTCTTGCTGGTCCGAGGCTGCTTGAGGCTGACCACTTTGCACACCAACTGCTTCTTCGCTTCGTTTTCGGTCGCTAGATACACAACTCCGTCTGCGCCTTGGCCAAGACAACGCTGGGCAATGACGTATTTATCCCGGAACAGCTATGAAGCGCCAGATCCACACCCATTCATCAGAAGAGCGAGGGGACTCGGGGGGTACCTTGCACTCGGCCTGCTGGATCTCGGTGAGGGCATGGCGCTTCTCGGCCCGCTTGTCGCAGAACGTGAAGGACCAGTATGGCACAATATTGATCACATCTCCGTGTTGCAAGAGGTACCCGGAAGAAAGACCCTCCCCTTTGCCAATCTGCACGCTATTGATGTAAGTTCCGTTGCGTGAAGTGCGGTCGCGCACGTAAACGAGGCTGTCTGATTGATCATACGCCACGACGTAAATTTCGCAGTGCTTTCGAGACACAACATGGTCCAGATCGTTCGTGATGCAGCAGCTATAATTCTTGTCAGATCAATGATCTCTGTTCTGAGCGGAAGGGACAAACTTACTCGGAAGCTGGGTCACGCCCAATCTTGAGTATCTCATCGTCGCGAATCGGAATCAGCTCTGAATCACGGTTAGTAAGTTGCTATGCGATGAGAAGGATTCCTGACCTTGAAACGGCCCACCGCCGGCTGTTGAACATGCCATAAGGAGGCATCTGTCTGGGACATCCTTGTGTTCCGAGGTGCACGGATGCTGCTGTTCTGGCTGGGGGGACGCCATCGAGAAGTGATTTCAGCGGCAATCCGTGTAAGCCAGAAACCCGCTGTCAACACCTTGCTCGTGTGGTGGAGCGACAAACTCAAAGACGCAGAGACGAATATGAAATGGTGAAGGCGAGCGTAGTTGAAGTCAGGCTCGAGTTGAAAGTGAAGTGTCAGATCGTTCCTCGTAACGCATGAAGAGGTTGACAGAGGCTTGGAGTCGTGAACATATTGTTCCCGACTCCTCTGAATCTCCTATGGCTGTTGTGCTCGAGCTCTGGGCCACGGTGCAAATCACAGTGTGAAATTCCTTGCACTGTATGGATTCGTGCACGGGCCAAGTCCCAAAGCGGCCAACCACGCCCGCCAAGCCAGGTCATCCTGACGTATGATGGACACGTGACCCTCGGGGGTTTCGTGCCCTACTACTTTCGGGAGCTGCTTAACCTCTGGAATTTCCCCTCCTCTTTCCTGTTGCACCTCATCCAAGCACGATTCTCATCAACGAACAAGTAAGTTGAGCTCCCACCCGAAGCTGCTACAAGGAAGCTGCCGTCTGCGATTGGCAATTGCATTGTTGCGTTGCTTGATTGGCGGGTAGTCTTTTTTTGTTGTTGCACTGGCCAATGTTCGCAGTAAGCTAACCATGACGCAGCTCTATCGTTCAAGATGAGAGCCAAATGGAGGAAGAAGCGCGTTCGTCGCCTCAAGCGTAAGAGAAGAAAGATGCGTGCGCGATCGTGAGTGCCCCGAGCGTCCCGTCGTGCGTGAAGCAGCTACTGACGACTGCTACAGCAAATAAACGACTCGCACTTGCACCTGACTCGACGCATCTCTCATGACTTTTACAACGCCGCTCGCCTGAATGACGCCAACAAAGCTGGCAATCGACAACTCGGCAACCAGTGGTCGCTTGACGAGGACTCTCGACGACATTGACTTGACGTTTTGGGACCGAGTGCAGGGACTTCAGCACGGAGGCCAGAGTGGCCGGCCGGTCTTTGGTCATGACGGCGGTGGGAGATGAGCAATGGACAACTTGACGGTCAGGTTAAGTCGGCGTTCAGGGATCGCCTCAACGAAGCAAGCTGTCACGAACGACGCATGCTAGGAACCTATTTTGGCACCGTTATGGACAATGAAATCGCAGATTTGCTTCGCGAACCGATTGGCATCCCGACCTCGTGACCAAGTGTGATTTGTAGATCGGGGCAAGCTACGAGCTGCCTGTGAAGCATCCAAGCTTCTAGCTGCGGTCGGCGCCTCATTGTGAGGCCGCGACAATTGGCAATCGAAAGCTGACAATCCTGCGGTGCGTGGGCTGTGGAAGCTCTGCTGCGGAAAAGCTCGACAGCTTCCCGGCGTTTGTGCGGTGACGTCGCCCACTTTTCGGGTCCGCCGGGTGTGGTTTGACAGCGGGAAGAGCTGCAGGGCGGACACCTTCGCTGTGCCGGACAGTGCCATGCAAATATCTGGTGTAACTCTCGAACTCGAGGCTACATCTCAAGCTGCACATTTAACAAGGTGCATTGGCTTTGTTGTAGGCTACACTAGGCGTGGCCTGCCTGGCTGCGATCTGGACAGCTCACGCGCCTCGAAGGCTTCACATGGTTTGGTGAGGCCAATGGCAGCGACCAATGCTGAGGACTGGGACGCATTTCTGAGCATCATGTATCGTCGATGACGGACAAGATGAATATCTTATCTTTTGTGCGTCAAACCGGCCACATACAAATTACTGATGGCAGCAATTACGGCGCTGTCGATTGGCACTAGGTAGATCAGACCCGGGCTTGTTTGGTTTGCTATGCAAACGCGACAAAATGAATTGATTTGAGCTCGTACTCTTGCGCAACATGCTCGCATATGCCGTGTGCTGTCTACCTACACTTCAAGGATGCAAACGGCAGAGGCGGCCTGGAGTGCTTGAATTCCGTGTCGCGTGCATCTCGCCGTGCCACCGTTACTTTCACAGCACCTGGCACCTCGGGCAGCATCTTCAATCGGGTGCAGCGGCCGCAGAGGGCCTGAGTCCTGACTGCTGTGTCCACTGTCCAGCACCACTGGTTGCGATGGTCAGTGGGGTCGGCTGCCCACCGCTCACCGCCCCGGCAAAAAGCTCCGCCGAATTTGCGGCCCGCAGTCGCAGGAACGGCAGAACCCAAAAATTTTTGGCGTGCCGTCGCTGAACGCCCATCGCATCACATCCCACCCTGCATCTGAGTTTCACTTCAACAAAAACATCCATTGCGAGCCTCGCGACGCCGCTGCGGCCAGAGCGAGACACCATGGGCGACGGCAGCAGCAAGAAGCGCAAGCGCGATGGCGACGCGGCGGGCAAGCCCAAGAAAAAGGTTGTCCTGGACGCCCCTCCAGCGACCGCCAAAGTCTCCTCCGTCCTGCGGCCCAAATCCTGCCCTCCCGTGATAGGTACGACGACGCTCGAAGCAATGCTCCTGTCGACTCAATGGCTAATGCACCTGTAGCTACCACGCCGGGTTTGGAAGTCCCCAGGAATGTCGTCTTTCACTCCTACCAGTCCAAGGACGAGGCGCGGTCAAAATCGAAGCAGCCCAAGCATACCATCGACAAGGAGATCCTGCTGCACTCCACTGCACACCGCAGCCTGGATTACACTGCTAGAGAAGAGGAGCCTAGGGGCTCGAAGCCTCTCATGAAGCACTACGTGGGCGTCTACGACCCCAAGACGGGCAAGCTCGAGGTGGTCGAGGCCAAGAAGATGGTTGTCAGAGGCCAGGTTCGCGCAAAGCAACTGCCCACTGCTTCGGCCAAGGATATCGGAGCCAGACAGGTATGTCCCAATGCCCACGAAGAATACTTTGGGATTGGCACTAACGTGGCTGCAGACCAATATGGAGCGCAAGACGGACCTCGGACAGACGTTTGGTACCAAAAAGGCCAAGAAGGCGATCCGCGAAAATGTCCTCAATGCCATCGCGCCGGAGAAGAAGCCCGGAGATGGCTCGCCGACAAAGATCGACAACGCAGCCCGCGCCATGCTCGACTCCGTCGGGGCCCTGACTTCGCAAATGGCCACGAGAGAACAGCTGCAAGCCGTCGTCGACGAGGCCAAGCCCGTGCCAAAGGCCAACCTCGAGGCGACGGAGATCCAGGACGTCTACGACCCGGACGTCATCATCGGAAGCGACATACTCAACCTCGTACCAATCCGCGAATGGCAAGAAAAGGCCCGACACAAGGAAGGCATCCAGATTCCCTCGCGGTTCATCGCCGCCCGCGTCAACGCCATCGCCATCAACGACGATGCCCTGACCCGGCTGCGGGTTCTGCGATACATGGGATTCGTGCTGCTCTTCTACCTCGGTACGAAGCCCGGCAAGCAAAAGGGAACCAGACAGCTGCCGTCACGGGAGAAACTTCGCGAGCTGCTGTCGCCGGCGCCGGAAGCCGTCGTCGAAAACATCCGCCGCAAGTTCTCGGACGCGGGCACGATGCGCAAGTTCCACATCGACCTGCTCATGACGCACTGCTGCGTGTTCGCGTGCATCGTCGACAACTTTGAGGTGGACACGGAGAACCTGCGGGACGACCTGAGGATAGATCAGGGGTCCATCAACAAGTTCTTCCACGAGATTGGCGGCAGGGTCAAGCCGGTGGGTAGCAAGGCGGAGGGACGCCAGGCCAACATTGCGCGCCTCGCGCTGCCGCTCGACTTCCCCAAGCAGAGGCACATTGCTCCTCGCCGGAAATAGAGCATTCGGCAAGGGCATGAATTTATGACGGATGTGTATAAAGATGGCCATGCAGGGCGGGTTGGCGGCGCGTTTGCGGCATATTAGCATTCCTGGAGTTTCTGTCCGTACGCTAGACCGTCGGACTTGAATTTGCACTCGGTTCTTTTTCTCAATCCGTGCTCTTTTCCGTAGCCGGCCCCGTATTGCGTTGCGCAGTTGCGAAAGACCTCCCAACGTGGTGGTTGGGGCAGTAGGTACTACATGACGTAGCCTCACAGGCTCTGTGCCGTTGTCCCGATTCGCAAACGTGTAAACCCCGCCCGCTAAGCGTATACCGTCAGCAGACATGGCGACATGCACAAGCTCACAGGCTGGTCATTGTGAGGGGATCGCGGAGCGGAATGTGATTACTGACATTTGTCCAGGGTAGGCCGTGTATCAGTCGCTTCACGACTGCGCGTTGACGGGCATGGCACTTCGGCAGAAGCTTGCCACTACCTCTTTTCTCCCAGAGAATGGTTCAATCATTTCCCCGTCTTTATTTTTACTCGAGAGATTTACGCCTGTGATAAGGGGCGTAGCACTCACGCTGCTAGTTAGTTATCTGCGCAACCCTGTGCCGTAACGGCAACACCCTCGCCCAGCCATCGCCGCTCGCACAACAGCCGAGTTCCGGGCGGACGCAGGGTACTTATACTAAGAAGTCTCTTTTCTTGCCATTCCAAGGCAGGAGCCTGCCTCATACTACAAAGTGCCCAACGTACGTACTGTACGACACCAGGTTCTGGCTCGGGATTCGGAGCCGCACCCTCCCCCCCCTCGGCAGGCGCGTGGGTTGTTGTCCCGGGCTGCCGGGATCCCCGCAGTTTTATAGCGTCCCTGCAGATTGGCCAACGCGGGCCGAGGCACACCATCGTGGGGAACTGTGCTTTTTGTGGGGGGTGGGTGTGCTTCCGCGGTTCTTCTTCTCTGACGACTCTCTCTGTGGTTCAAAGTTGGAAAGCGGTTTGATCGGATCTTACCTCTCAAGAAACTTCCATTTTTTCAACCCAAGCAAGCCCCGCTGGTTTTTTATACACGATACTAGATCTTGTCCTCGGCTACTGTTAGACTTTTCGGTTCCTTGTTGGTCCATGCGTTGTGCGACGACGGCCTGATATACATTACACCGACCCTTGCCTGCCTGCCTGCTGTCCTCTTTTCCCACCAGCTGGTGTCGCATCTCATCTCACCTCAGGAGACCAAGAAGAAGAAAGTAAAGAACGTCAACCGGGCCTCACCCGCACATAGTACACCCGTCTACCAAGCCTCCGACTCCAACCCCCTCGCGTTTTTGTCACCATGGCAGACCTCGGCGCAGAGTCCGTCGTCAGCGTCGAGTACCGCGGGCGCGTCGCCGTCATCACCATCGACAACGACAAGAAGCTCAACGCCCTGGGCCAGCTGCAGTACTATGCGCTGGCGCGCGCCATGCAGGAGGTGGCCAAGCACGATGAGGTGTTTGTCACGGTGATTCTCGCCAAGGGGCGTTACTTTTCGGCGTAAGTTTCTTCTCCGTTCGTTCGTTCTACCTACACTCTGTGCTGTGTTTGTTCTGGTTCGTCGATGTAGTAGCGAGGGGTGTGACGGTGCCTGGACGCATCGTCACCCACCGGCACCACCTCATGATGAAACCCCCTAGCCCAGCTCTCTCATTCACAAACCTCGTTCTACACGCGAATGTCACTGACGCACATCATCCAGCGGCGCCGACGTCTCCATCAGCCGCGCCGCCCCCGTCGACGCGACCGACTCGCACAAGCTCTGGCTCTCCACCTTCGTCGCCTTCAACCTCAACATCACGCACACCTTCGCCACGCACCCCAAGGTCCTCGTCGTCGGCCTCAACGGGCCCGTCATCGGCCTCTCCGCCGCCCTCGTCTCCTTCGCCGACTTCATCTACGCCGTGCCCCACGCCTTCCTCCTCACCCCCTTCTCCTCCATCGGCCTCGTCGCCGAGGGCGGCGCCTCCCGCGCCCTCGTCCAGCGCCTCGGCCCCGCAAAGGCCAACGAGGCCCTCATCATGAGCAAGCGCCTCTGGGCCAAGGAGCTGCTCGACGCGGGCTACCTGAATGAGATCTTTGACTACCCCAAGGGCGAGGACGCTGCGTTTAGGGAGCGCGTGCTCAAGGAGGTGGATGAGCGTCTGGGGGACCACCTCAATGGCGAGAGCCTCGTCGGTATCAAGAAGCTCATCCGCCGCCCTGAGCTCGAGACGATTCACAATGCAAACGTCCACGAGGTCTTTGCCGGGCTCGACCGCTTCGTCAAGGGCATCCCCCAGGAGGAGTTCCGCAAGCTGGCCAGCGGCGAGAAGAGACACAAGCTGTGAAAGACGGAGGGCGCGAGTTCGAGTAGCCATGCTCATCTGTATATACACTGTCACGTTTATGAGCCCAGCAATGGTACACAATTGTGCTTTGCCATTATATCCTATCTGGTCGGGCCTACGCCAGCAGCCCGAACAAGAGGCTCGTCCGGTGCCAGTAGTCGTGCGCTGCCTTGGTGACGCGTTGGCGCGACGACTCATCGGCTACGCCTGAAAGCTCGTAGATCTCGTCCTCGACCTTTTTGAGGTCCTCTGAAGGTTTTCCTGATATCGTGCCGACGGAGCAGCTCAGGAAGGCAATGTCAAAGAGCCACTGCGTGCTGACGTCTCGAATCCGCTCGCCAGACGGCGCAGTGCCTTGGTCCTTGTCCTGAGGTTCCGTCTGCCCCAATACCTCCTCCGAGCCCTTCTCCTCCGTCTTCTCGTCTTGAGCATCGTCCTTCTTCGGCTCAGGTTGGTCTGACGACTCCTTCGCCAAAGTCGCCAGTTCCTCGCGCCACGATTCGCACAGCTTCCCGCAGAGGTGCTTCTTCATGGTCACAACAGCCACCGCGGTCCACAAGTCGACTCCCGCATCGGTCATCGACAGCGAAAGCTCCTGCAAGAACTGGAAAAGCCCAGGAGACGGCTGGATGGGCAGCGCCGGCTCTCCCTCCCAGAGGCCTCTGCCGGGCACTCGTCTGCTCGACAGAAAGGTTGCCGTGAACTCGTTCAGCGCCTGCGCGGAGACGCTGCCAACGATCTTGCTGTGGAGTTCGGGGACCATTGACAGCCCGAAGCTCTTGATGGACGGCCGGTCCGGCAGCTGGGAGCGGATGTCCCGCAGAACGCGCACCAGGTACATGGCAATGTCGCCATTTGTGGTGCTGTCCGCCTTTTCCTTCCACAACTTGCCCAGCTGTTCCTGAAGCTCCTGAAAGGACTTGTCGAGAGTTGCGTCCAGCTTCTCCTGCAACTGGCGCGGATCGTCTTTGCTTAGTGCTTGCTGCCTTGCCTCGATGGTCTCTTCGTCTTCGATTTCATCGTAGTCGTTGTCCCAGCGCTGCTTTCTTAGCAGTTCAACTACGCCCTCGACATCGTCAATGACGTGATACCAGCTGCTGTAGGAATGTGCCGCCTTGGACACCGCGTCGTTCCTGCCGTAAAGTCGCGATGTAACCTCCTGTACAAACGACGCAGCGCCAGTAGCGAGGGCCTCGTCGTAGCCGCTTTCGTCCCAGAGCCCTTGTTGCTTGTCTGTGATGCCTTCTCGCCATCCCTCGAGCGTGGCTCGGACTTCGGACCCGACCAAGCGTAGCTTCGTAACCTTGTTTTCCAGTACCGCCAACATGCGCGAGTTGATGGCATCACGCAGGTCGTCTTGCATCTCCGACGGGTCGAATCCTCTTGTCCTGCCGCCGTCGCGGATCCAAAGCCGAAGCACCTCTGTCCGGAGCTCCATGATGGACTTAAAATCCGCCATGTGCTCCAGCGTCTTCTTCAAGCCATCGAGGAGAACTTGACCGCCCTTCGCCGCCCAGCTCGTGAGCCGCTCTCTGGCTAGCTTTCCATCGAGGTCGTCGTGCCGAACAAAAGGGGTGAAGTACTGTATCTCCTCGCTGCACCATCGTTGATATAAGTCCAAGCGCAAGCCCTCGAGTCGCTTCAGGGCGGGATCCGCGAGGAGCGGCCGGCTTTTGAGGCTTGCCAGAACTGGTGAAAGCTTGGCTGGCACGAGGGCCTGAACGTCTAGGAGCGTCTTCGTGTACAGCCTCAAGCTGTGGACGACATCTTCGGTGGTCGTCGCCCGTTCGTCTTCCTCCACGTCGAATGCCAACGCCATGGCCTCTGCTCGCACGGAGAGAAAGTAGCGCAGAGCATCGCTCGCACCGGAGCTGGCGACAAGGCAGTGTGCGCAGAGCGCCTTGAGGATATCTTCCCTCTCCGCATCGTCGCTCGCATTCTCCAGAACCTTTTTGATGGCATTGTTGAGCCGTCGGCGAAGCGAGTCTCGGGACTTGATGGCGCCTCCGAGGTCGAGCTTGGGACCCCCGCTAGCGCCCTCAGTCTCTTCCTCGAAGCCCTTGAGCAGGAGTCGAATCAACACCCAGACTTTCGCTGCCAGGAGGAGCCTGTCTCCCCTCTTCGCATGTTCGTCCAGGCCAGCTTGGCCCTTGAGTATTCGACCGACGAGAAGCCCGCACCCGCTGAGCAATTTGAGGCGCGCAGCCCTACTCATGTCCTCGTTGCGCTCGTTGGCGACGAATTTGGACAGGCCGGTCGCCTTGGCCGCCACGACCGTCCGCCCGCAGCGGCCGCCCATCTTGCCTAGGAGCTCCTGGACGCGGTCGTTGTCGCCGTGCATCTGGACGATGGTGTCGGCCGTGCCGAGGAGCTCGCGGTACGAGCCGCCGACCTGCGTGCGCAGGCGGCTCGACTTTTCCTCGATCTGCACATGGAGCGCCTTGTGTATCGAGCGGATCTGGGGCAGCGTCTTGTTCGAGGAGAAGATCTGGGCTGACGACGTCAGGGTCGCGACGTCGGGGATCGGGGTGGCCATTGTGGCGGAGGGACGGCGCCTGAGACGGATTCACGGGCGGCTTCTATATCGTGTTCGACATCGGGGATACGGAGGCGCTGCGCCGGGATCGATTCGTCGCGGGCGTGGTGAATCAGGCGGAGCTGATGAGTTCAACTTTCGTGTGGTGCGAGGCGCAGGTGACGAAGCTGGGCGGTTCGCCAGGTGTCTCGATACCTTAGTGGTGGGGCAGCTACCGTGTTACACACCGATACGAGTGCTGGCCCATGGTCACTTACACCTTGCCAGCAAGCAAAAACTCACTACGGGCAGCATACATTTTCCGACCGGATAGAAATTGCCAGGACGACATATACAACGGCGTGAAAGACTGATATGCATTGTGCTTCTACAACTTGATGCTCTTGACCACTGCTGTGTTGATACCAGCCAGCTCGCCCTGGTATCCGCCCTTTGGCTCTCCTCCCTTCCAAGTGGGCTTCATGCTCCTCAGCTTCTTCTGCTTGGCCTCGTACTGCTTTCTCCGCTTCACTCGCGGGTTCCTGACATCCTTGCTCCTCTTGGGCGCCAGGCCCTTGTTCTTCTCAATGGCGTACGTGATCTTGCGCTTGCCATCGTCGCCGACCTCCTCCTTCTCCACGACTCTGTCGGCCTTGCTCGCCGCGGCAAACGCTGCGTAGCGAGCGGCCTTGTCCTCCCGCTTGCCCTTGGAAGAATTGGCGACCATGTCATAGTAGTCATCTTCGTTGTCGCGCATGGAGTTTGCGACTTGATTGTCATCGTCGTCGCTGTCGTCGCCGAGGTCTGCACCATGCTTAGATCCCTTCTGGCCCCTCTTCTCTGCCGCAGCCATAAGACGAGCCTGGCGATCGCGCAGTCGCTCGCGATACGGAAGATCCATGTCACCTCCGGCATCGCGGCCCGCACCAGCCCGCTTGTTGGCCTTTTGCGCAATCTGAGAAGTGTAAAACTTGAGGCTCTTCTTTCGGGCAGCCTTGTCGGCGGCAGTCCGCTCATCCAGGGCATCCTCCTCACCAAAGTCGGAGTTGTCGTCTTCCTTGTTCGCCTGAGCCGCCTTGGCGGACTTCTTGGATTTCCTCGAAGGGACAGGCAGGTCGTATAGATCCGCGACGGTGTCCTCGATCTGCTTAGCCCGGGCCAGCTTCTCCGCTTTCTTGACCGCGCTGGCCTTGTCGAGATTCGCAGACTTCTTCTTCTTGGGTTTCTCGACGTTTTGCAGGGCCATGGCGATGTCATCGACGTCCATCTCGACGGGCTGCAGGTGGCTGGGCGCGTTTAGTGACCTTGCATTCTTGACCCTCTCCCATGCGTTGCGGCAGTCGACCAGCGTCTCCATGACATCGTGATCCCGCAGCTCAGTGGGCGCAAGGGCCTTTTGCGACTTGTCGCCATCCCGCGCAGGAGAGGTCAAAACGGCAAAGTAGCCACCCAAGGCGGCGACATAGCAGCCCAGGACCCAGTATTTGATTGCTTCCAGGGTTCTGGCGGATTTGCCGACCGCATCGGCCTTGAGCTGTGCCAGCACCGGCTGGAGCGCCTCAAACTCGTTGACGAGGTGTTCAAACTCGGGGTATCTTGTCGCAAGGAGTCTCAAGCGCTCGTCGGGCGTCATATCGTCGGTGACCTCGATATCCTTGAGGACTTCAATGACTGGTTCGTCGTTGTCCTCCTCTTCTGGCTCTCCAGCCAGCCACTCGTCGCCGTCAAAAACAAAGTCCTCTTCTCGCATCTTGGACAGCTTCTTTTGCTGCAGTCGCTTCGCCTCGGCCTCTTCTTCCAAAGCATCGGCCTCTGTCTCGATGTTGTCTGCATCGTAGTATTCCTTCTTGGAGGAGCCCCACCAGCCCTCGTCCCCCTCTTCGTCTTCATCGCCGTCCTCGTCCGAGTCGTCGGCGGCGGATTTCTTGCCAGACTTTTTCGAGGGCTTCTTGGCTCGTGCATCGTCATCCGAATCGGTGTCTTCGTAGCCTAGGACCTCTTCGTCTGAGAGCTCAAAGCCCTCGTCATCTTTTCTCCTCCGTTTGGAACCGGGCTCGTCGTCGAGCATGATTTTGTCTTGGTTGATGAAGTATTCGTCCTCGGAGTCGGCGACATCTTCGTACGTGGTGACTGGGCCGAGACGGGCGTCGGCGGCATCCAGGTCCTTGGGGCCCTTGGCCTCCGCATTGCGGGAGGACGCCTTTCTCTTCTTGCCCATGGTTGTGGTGAATTGCGAGGCGAGTAGTTGCGGATGGTGGACGCTGGGCAGTCTCAAGCGGCGATGCGACTTTCCCGGCACTGAGCAGTGAGTACAGAAAATTTACCAGAGATAAGATAAGAAATTCCTCGACCGCCAGGCCCGCCGGAAATACTTGGGGCCGCCGCTAATGCTGCGCTCTCGCAGCACCAACTTGCCCCACGGAAACTTGATGCGCCCACTGCCTAAACAGGCAGTGCAGTGTGACATGGTCAGGCGCCACTTTGGCTGCTGTGCGTCAGATGCACGGCGCAGAGTCGCAGACGCGGGCAACCCTCGACGGTAACACTGCGTATGCGAGATGCAGCATCAGACGATTCTGTGCTACGGCGGCTTCTCGCATTGCCAAGGGATTTTTTCCTCAGAGGCTCTTTGTGTCGCAGGGCAGCGGAAGCTGGGAAAGCGCGGTATTTACTAGGGCCTAGGAATCGGCGGATGGCCAATCTGAAGCGGTCAGGGCACGATTTATGCACACATTTTCGCTTCCACGTTGGCAGCATCGGTCGGAGTATCAAGGCACCTCAGTAACAACGCCGTGTAGCCCCCAATCTTCATCCGCGATAATAGGCCGTGCGTCCCGTGCTTCCCACACTGACCCCGGCCGTCTGCTGGCGGCATCTTGCCCGAGTCGGCAGCAGGTGATGCGCCGGCATGGAACGCAGGACGGGCCAACAGGCCACCCTGATGGCGGCTGCATAATACTCTGAGGCATTACAGTGCCTGCCCCTGCGAAAGACGAGTCTTCATTGGCATGCGGGTGCCAGGGCCTCTACGCAAGCCTCCAGGCACCGTGCCACGGAACGAGGCTGTCGAGGAGTGCGAAATACAAAGCTTGATACTGGCCATGGTATGTTCCACGAGCTGAATTATACGCTGGCGAGTCCACCACGGCTGCGGCAAAAATACAGTTCACAACCCCCCACGGCAGGCAGCTGCAAGAACGGCAGGGCCGCCAGGGACGCCCAAGTAATTACCGCCACGCCCGTGGCGGCTTTTAGCTCCCTCGCCTCCGCAGCCAAGCGCCCTGATTCCTCCACCTTTCTTACCATCCCCCACCGAACCCCGTGCCACTGCTCCGCCGCCTATGCAGGGTGGCAACGGCGACGGCGACTTGGGGACTGTCGGTCTGGCAATATGCCGCGTCTCATCCGTCGAGACACCCCAAAGAAAAAAAAAGAGGCAAGCTCGTGTTGGGCCATTACTTGCACCTGGCCCTCTCGCGGTTGGCATAGTTAAGTCGCGCATGCTCGGCGGCCTCCAGCTATAGCTCCAGCTACCGGATTCAGAGAGCTCCAACACTCGACGCGAGGCGCGGCACAGGGTGCGCCTCTTTAGGCCGTCTGAGACCCTCTGAGACCCTCTGACACGGAGACCAGCCTAGACTAACCGCGCCGGGGCTCACGTGGGATCGTCATAGCTTGGCACAGGGTGCGGTGCCTCGAGCCCTTTGACCCTCCTCCCGCCGCGACTCCATCGGCGTCCGTCAACGTGCCAGAGGCAAGGTAGCCTTCTGGTCGACGTCAACATCACCTGGACTGGCCGATCAGGCAGGCGTCAATCGTCAAGCGCGCAACCGACGGGGCGCGCCTCACCTTATGCCTTGCGAGCCCAGCGCTGCCTCCCTCTGCGGCTGCCCTCTTGCGTCGTGCTCGCCGTGGTGACCGCCAGCCACTGCGACGATACCGGACGATACCTTGAACCGCGCATCTCCAGCCGTTCGACATCTGCATGCAATCACCAAGCTTCTCTTCCGCTACAAACCTCTGTCAATCATCAACTATTGACCGCCATCTCTGCGCCGACATTCCGGCCCCGACATCGCCAGTGACCGCACACACCCAACCACTACCGGCGTGTGCCGAACCGCCCACGAGCGCGGCCGCGCGCGGTCCGAGCTTCCTCGCCGGCCCCGATCCGTGTGTCACGGACTTGTTGCAGATACACGTCCGCGCGAGGTAGCAACGGGTCAACCCTCTGCAGCGTCACGGCGCCAGACAGCTGCACCATGGCGGATCGAGACGGAGGCCTGCCCGTCTCCCAGTCGGTCTCCCAGCCGCCATCGCCACGTACAGTTCGCCGTCCCTTCGCCATGAATCGCCACCATTCAAGCTCCGAGCATGACGAACGAACTCCCCTTCTGGGCGCGCCGCCAAAATCCCGTGTGCGCATGCAGACCGGCGCTACCACCCCTCGCATTCCGCATCTATCACGCAATCAGAGCTACGCAGGTTTGTGTTTTCCCTCCTGTGCAGCCCTGTCTCGGCACTGACCCGAATTTTCCTCTGCTGCAGGTAGTGCTCGCGGCTCTCGAAACCACAATCGCCATGGGTCATGGGGTTCGAGGCTGATATCTGCTCTGTCCGAGCGGCGCGGATCCATGTCTGAGTCCAAGGGCTCGATTTTCCCTGACGAGCGGGTGTGGTACGATCAGTTCACTAGCACTGACTGGGTCCACGATACTATCGCCGATTCCCATCGCGTCAAGGCTCTGCGCAGCAGGAAGGACTTTTGGGGCCGCGTCCGCGTTGCCTTTGACGGCTCTCAGGGCTGGATCCTGAGTGCCCTGTCTGGCTTCGTCGTCGCACTTATTGCGTACACCGTGGACGTGTCCGAGTCGACCGTCTTTGACTACAAGGATGGCTACTGCGCAAGGGCCTGGTATCTCGACGAAAAGGTGAGCATACTCACACCAACCGTCCAACACGGCCAGGCAGACTTACTCACACCCGAGCAGAAATGCTGCCCACGAGGCGCTTGTGAGGACTGGAAGAGCTGGTCTCAGGCATTCGACTACCATCCGTTCGGAGAGAAATGGACCGACTTCTCTATATACCTACTTTGCGTCATCGGATTCTCTTGCCTCTCGTGCTGGATTACGCTATGGACCAAGACTGTTGTCCCTTCAGCATATCGTCTTACAACACTGGACGAAAACCTCGCCGCCGAGAGGGTACCTTTGCTCGCCGACGACGTCCATTCCGACGACAACGTCAGCCCCCGCCAGCAACGCGACCCTGAGAGGGAGAGTCCACCGATGGTATACTACTCCGCCGCCGGCAGTGGGGTTGCTGAGGTTCGTGTCATCCTCAGTGGATTCGTGCTGCACGGCTTCCTTGGCTTCAAAACGCTCGTCATCAAGATGGTGGCCCTGATCCTCAGCGTCTCGTCTGGACTCAGCCTCGGCAAGGAAGGTCCTTTCGTCCACATGGCGACGTGCGTGGGCAACATCGCCTGCCGACTATTCACCAAATATGACCGCAACGATGCCAAGAGGCGAGAGGTGCTCTCTGCGGCCGCCGCTGCAGGAGTCGCCGTGGCCTTTGGCGCGCCCTTGGGCGGCGTTCTCTTTGGCTTGGAGGAGGTGGCGTACTTCTTCCCGGCCAAGACGCTCTTCAGGACCTTTTTCTGCTGCATTATCGCCGCGCTCTCCCTCAAGTTTTTGAACCCGTATGGCACGCACAAGATTGTCATGTTCGAAATCCGCTACCTCGTCGACTGGGAATACTTTGAGTTGCTGAGCTTCGTCTTTGTCGGCATCTTGGGTGGCGCCATTGGAGCCCTCTTCATCAAGGCATCAAAATACTGGGCACACAGCTTTCGACGCATCGGCGTCATCAAAGCATATCCCATTCTGGAAGTATTCTTGGTGGCCGTCACCACGGGTCTCATGAGCTACTGGAACGGGCTGACGAAGCTCTCGGTGGCTAAGCTGCTCTTAAGCCTCGCATCGCCGTGCGACGACTCCACCGATGGTTCTAAAGATGACCTGGGCCTTTGCCCAAGCTCTGTCAACGACATCCCGCCGATCCTCCTGACACTCTTTGTGGCTTTTCTCATCAAAGGGTTCTTGACCATCATCACTTTTGGGATTGTACGTTTGTGTTCTCGCCTCAGTCGTTGGGATGCGTTCTGACAACTTATGTTTTAGAAAGTACCTGCCGGTATTTACATTCCGTCCATGGTTGTCGGCGGCCTCTTGGGCCGCATCATCGGGCATTTGGTACAATGGCTGGTGCTGGTGGCCCCAGGCTGGGCCATATTTGGTAACTGCGCCACGGCTTCAGACGGAACATGCATCCAACCCGGTGTGTACGGCCTGATAGCCGCAGGCGCAACCATGTGTGGCGTGACGCGACTTTCGGTGACGCTGGCCGTCATTCTCTTTGAGCTGACAGGCAGCCTCGACTACGTTCTCCCCTTTTCTCTGGCGGTGCTGGTGGCCAAGTGGACGGCGGACGCTATCGAGCCCAACAGCATCTACGACCTGCTCACGAGCATGAACTCGTATCCATTCTTGGACAACAAGCACAAGCCGGTCTTCACGGGAGACCTGGCGGACATTGTGCCGCGTGTGCGCCGCGAGAGGGTGATTGACATCACCAACTCGCCAATCGTGCCCGCCACGAGTCTTCGAGCGAAGCTGGAGACTTTGCACCGGGCTGGGGAGCTGGATGGCGGACTGCCGATTGTGCGACAGGACGTGTTGGTGGGGCTAATTCCGGCGCCGGATCTCGAGTATGCGCTGGATCAGCTCGTGGACGAACAGACCAGTCTCTGCTTGATGGATCGGGTCCCAAGCATCGACGAGGACGAGGAGGACGAGCCGGATCCGACCGACTTTACGCGCTACATTGACCCGGTGAGCAGTGGTAGAAGCCCCATTGAAGGTGTTTGTGCTGACTGGGCCGCAGGCACCTGTGACACTGGATGTTCGGTCGCCGTTGGATCTCGTGTACGAGTGTTTTGTCAAGCTTGGATTGCGTTACATTTGTGTGTCGAGGGACGGCAAATATGCCGGCTTGGTGAGTGACGGCCATGGAAACGGAGTCGTGCCGATGACGCTGACGATCTTGAGCAGGTGCACAAAAAGACGTTTGTCAAGTACATGCGAGAATTGGAAGAGTCGGAGAGTTGAGTCTGGCCTAGAGACAGACGGCCTCTGGAATTTGGCGATTGCCCGGAATTGCATACCCTTGGCGTAGCGGGTTGGTCATTGTCATTGTCGCATTCGCGCACTGCATGCACGGTTATTTGAGAGTATTGCTGCGGCCCTGCTCGATGCATTCTGGATGGAGGCAAGATTGCTTGTTTGGACATACACATTACGCGAAGACGGAGAGGAAGACAGTATCAGGTGTTTTGCTCGCTGTAGAGGGACAGGTGGGAGGACACATCCCAGGTTGTTGGCCGCTCGCACGAGATGAGGTCGCGATGGCCGACGGGCGGCGGTTCGTGTCGTTAGTCTGCATCTGATGGTGGGGGAAAGTCTGGGGGGCGCAGGTGGACCCCGGCCTCGATGGCCGTCGGCGGAGCGTGAATGGAAAGGGAAACGGGCGACTAGCCCGGGTTAATGCTCGCAAACCCTGCTCGCATGCCTGCCGCGCAGTACGTATCGCGCGCAAGTGATTGAAATCGTGTTGGGTCTGGACGTGGCGGGATCGGAGGCTTGCGGGATCGTGAGACGGAGGACCCGGGTGCCGGGCCCGGATGCGAGACGGAGTCCACGGGGCCCGGACGGGCGCGACTGCAGACGCTGCAGGGGGTGGTGGGCGAGTCTGCAGGGCTGGCTCTGCTCTGCCGCGGAGCCAGCCAGCATGTACTCCTACAAGCACACATACAAGTAGTACACGGGGCTGGGAAAGCGTGTTAGACGCCGCGCATGACTAGCTCAATTGCGCGATGGGCCGGCGGTGGGTTCGACGACGCAATGGCGGAGCTCACGTGAGGGCGCGGCGCATGTGTAAACAGTCATTGAGTGTAAACAGAGGGAGGAGGGCCAGTTTCGTGGTGTTACGGAGGAGGGGGGGAGAATCGTGAAAGTCGTTGGAGCGGTCATCACGGGCGAGGCAGGGCAGGCAGGGGCCCCGGCGGGAGGGGACGTACGTTGGCCGTGTCGCACAAGGGGGATGGGGGGAGGCGAGGCGAGGCGAGGCGGGCGTCTGGTTGCCTGCGCGGCGAACTGGTGAAAGGATAATAAACGAGTCGGGGGTGACGATGCCGGCGGGCGTGCAGGGCCGGCCAAGAAGAAGGAGGAGGAGGAGGAGGACGGTAGAGAGTGACAGATTGGTGCAGCGGGCGGCCGGCCGGCCGACGGAGGAGGGAGAAGGGGCAGGAGGAGCAGCAGCAGGAGGAGGAGGGGCAAGACGGGTTCAACTTATATTATTATTTGACCTTTGAATTAGACCTCGAAATGGGCTATCGTGGGGCGGGCGAGCGGGCAATGCGAGCTGCACGCGCAGGGTGGTGGCCGTGGTGGTGGCGGGCAGGGGGCAAGCAAGCAAGGGCGTCGTCACATCAGCCGATGTTGTACAGTATCATGCCGTTCAGTACTTCGTGCAGAGCACTACAGTATCATTCCTTGTGGGAGAGTGGGCTGCGGGTGTTGGAGGAGGGCGCGGCTGGCTGACTGAACTGATAGATGGACCTGATTGTAGTGGTGGTGGTGGTGGTGGTGGTTGGTGTCGGCGGTCGTCCTGTTTGACCAAGAGGGGCAGGGAATCTAAAAATTCCGAGACGGGCGCGCGGCCACGATGGCATCCATGTACGGGTACTTCCATCGTGCGGCGGCGGCGGGAGTGTGTTTGTGCCAGCGGCCGGCCGAGCCATTGGGCCGTCTGTTGGCGATGATGCGGTTGCACAGACGACGCCGTCCGTCGTTTCGTGATTCGTGACGGGGTTTCTGTACTGTACTGTGGCGGCTGGATGCACTCTACCGATGAATGCGCTGTGCTTTGAGGATGCGGTGCGCGTCTGTCGCGGTCATCAGCGGCGACAGCGGCAGCGACAGCGGCAACGGCACGGGTTTCACAAGAGGGCGCGCGCGCGCCGCGCCGGGGGGTGGGCTGGAGCGTGTGTTTCCACGTTGTGGATCCACGACGCTGTGGGGGAAAGTCCGCCGACGTCGGGCTTCGCGTTTTGGAGCTTGTAGATATGGAGAGGGGACAGTGGACACGATCGAAGAATTACAGCGCATAGGTAACCGTATCAAAAGCAGCGCTGGTGATACAGAAGCTTTCCGCCCAAGGGTCACCTTCCCGAATGAATGTTAAAGGGCCCCGTTGAGTTCACGATGCTACCGCTCTTACTGTACTGCCTGTGTCTCGTCACGACCTCTTTTTTTTTTTTTTTGCTTGTCCATTTTCATTTTCTCTCTCCAATTGCCCGTCTCGACCAGCGCCGCCTGACCCAGCCGGCAGCCGAGCTGCAGTTGGAGAAGCAGCTCCAGCACACCAAGTACGTAACGGCGACCCCCCGCCGGCCAATGGGTTGCCAGCCGTGCCCACGGACGCGGTGGGGCGCCGACGCACCGGGGGCCCCCCTGGAGAATGGAACCTGGGCCTGGGAACAGCGCGGCCGGCAACTGGAACTGGAACTTCTTGGGGGACGCCGCCGCCAGACCGCTGGAGACCTGGACGGACGCTCCAACGGGGTGCAGGGGGGCCACGGGGGGAGGGCTGTCTCTTATACACATCTAGATGTGTATAAGAGACAGGTGCTGCTGGGGGGGCGGGCTCCAGGCGCTCGGCGGGCGCTGTCGCCCAATCCCCCAACCCAGCGTAGCGCAGCAGCGGGCAGCACCCGGACGTGAGGTCGTCCAGCGGTGTCACCTCGCGCCACGGGCCTCCATCCACCGCCCGGCAGACAGGCGAGACACACCTCACACTTCACCGTGTGGAGGGGCTGGCCCTAGCTCCATCCAAGCTGCGAAAGCTGCCAGGGTCCCCGCAAATCGGGCCCTCTCGCTCCAGCGCCTCCCCCGGTGTGCGATGCGCCCGGACGGCCGATTCAGGTCCCCCCCCCTTCGCGATACCTCAGTACGTACCGCGGGCGCCGCGCCCATCTCGACCTTCACCGGCCTTGTACTTGTACCTCTACCTCTACCTCCATGTCTCTCGCCTTCCAGTTCTTCCCCACAGATAAGCCGCGGGATTCCGGACGATAAAAAGGTTGGAGCTCGCCAGCTTGCTTCCCACGAGGGTCTGTTCTTGCCCATTGGAATCTTCTCTCCACTGCCCCTCGTCGCCCTCCCTCTGAGTCTGCCCCTCCATTCGGAGCTCTCTCTTCCTCCTCCACACCGCGTCGCATTGCATTCGCGAGTGCTTCCAACCTCGAGGGCTTCCCCCAGACTTACATCACTGCGTGTCGCCACGCGCCCATCACCGCCTCTCCCCGTCCTACACCACCTCCTCTCGCCGTCGCCATGTCGGCCGCCCTCCGTGCTGCCCGCACCCTGCGGCCAGCCATGGCCGCTTCGGCCACGCGCGCCTTCACCACCGCCGGCGCCGTCCGCCTGGCATCGGTCAAGCCCTTCCACAAGGACGAGCCCGCCGCCCCCGTGCTCAAGACGTCGTCGTTCCCTGGCCCCGAGGCCACCCGCCACGCCAAGGAGCTCAACGAGGTCTTCGAGACGCGGAGCTTGAACATGGTTGCCGACTACACCAAGAGCGCCGGCAACTACATTGCCGACCCGGATGGCAACATGCTGCTTGACGTGTAAGTGCCCTAATCGAGCTGGCCTGCGCAACCGCCCCTGCGACGATCAGGCCGGGGGACGAGCAGAGTAGACCCGTCCGTGTGTGCGACCAAGACGCGTGTAGCTGACTTGCCATTCTTTCCTTCCAGCTATGCCCAGATTGCCTCCATCCCTGTTGGCTACAACAACCCGGAGCTGCGCAAGGTCGCCGAGACGCCTGAGATGGTTGACGCCATCATCAACCGCCCTGCCCTCGGCAACTTCCCCTCCCACACCTGGGCCTCCCTCCTGAAGACGGGCATCCTCAAGTACGCCCCCAAGGGCCTCGACAACGTCTACACCGCCATGGCCGGTTCCGACGCCAACGAGATTGCCTACAAGGCCGCCTTCATGTACCGCCGCCAGATGGAGCGCGGCGGCCCCGAGGTCGACTTCACCCCCGAGGAGATCGAGTCCGCCATGCGCAACGAGGCCCCCGGCTCCCCCAAGCTCTCCATCCTCTCCTTCAAGGGCGGCTTCCACGGCCGTCTGTTCGGCTCCCTCTCCACCACCCGCTCCAAGCCCATCCACAAGCTCGACATTCCCGCCTTCGACTGGCCTCAGGCTACCTTCCCCCAGCTCAAGTACCCTCTCGACCAGCACGCCGAGGAGAACGCCAAGGCCGAGCAGGCCAGCATTGACGAGGTCGAGCACCTCATCAAGACGTGGCGCGTCCCCCCCGCCGCCGTCATCGTCGAGCCCGTTCAGAGCGAGGGCGGTGATAACCACGCCAGCCCCTCCTTCTTCCAGAAGCTCCGCGCCGTTACCCGCAAGCACAACATCCTCCTCATCGCCGACGAGGTCCAGACCGGTCTCGGTGCCACGGGCAAGTTCTGGGCGCACGAGCACTGGAACCTCCAGGACCCCCCGGACATGGTCACCTTCTCCAAGAAGGCCCAGACCGCCGGCTACTACTTCCGCAACCTCGACATGCGCCCCAACAAGCCCTACCGCCAGTTCAACACCTGGATGGGTGACCCCGCCAAGGCCCTGCTCTTCCGCGGCATCTGCAGCGAGATTGAGCGCCTCGACCTCGTCAACAACACCGCCAAGGTCGGCGACTACCTCTTCGGCAAGCTCGAGGGCCTGGCCCAGAGGTACCCCGAGCACTTCCAGAACCTGCGCGGCAAGGGCCAGGGCACCTTCATCGCCTTCGACCACCCCAAGCGCGACGAGTTCCTCGTCAAGGCCAAGTCGTTCGGCATCAACATCGGTGGCAGCGGCGCCAGCGCAGTCCGCCTCCGCCCCATGCTCATCTTCCAGCAGCACCACGCCGACATCCTGCTCGAGGCTCTGGAGAAGATTGTCAAGGCCCTGTAAAAGCTCGATATGGCATACATGATCACGGACAATGGGAAAAAAGAAAGATAATGGAATAGCGGGAAAGATTTCCACCATGTTTTGGCTGAGAGAAGAGTGTCATTTTGCATTTGCTCACTGACGCGCAGTGAGAGGGACGCAGGGGTATGGTCAAGCCCAGCTCGGGAGTCATGTCGCGTTGAACTTTTTGTGTGTGTTTATATACCCTCGTTCGCGAGGTTCCCACGAGGCGTGCCTATCACCGCCTCATTGAATGGATTTTCCAAATGAGCCGTCGGAGGCTCGGCAAGATGCTCTTGCAGTACCACTTCTAAGCGGGCGGCTTGTCGAAAGCGCATGTGTTGTGGATGAGAGCGTGATAAGAATAATGGATATACCCGCGAGTCCCGCGCCCTCACTCAGGCCGGGACTGCCTGTGCTATCGCAGACCATAATAATAGTGACGATTGCAAGCTTTCTGAACATGATCGAGGCTAGACTGGCCAGCGCCGACCTCAGCCTTGCGGCGGCTCTCGCGGAACTGCAATGCAATGCAAGCCAACCCGAAACCTCGTACAGGCAAGGCGCTTTACAACAAATGGCAGCGGGTAATGGTACAGGCCCAGAAACAAGACATTAGCGAAAACAAGGCAGTATCCAGCTGCGTATATATTTACCCCGAAGGAGGCCCCAGACAAAAAGGAAGTAATCACATTATCGAGGCTCGAGCAAACGCCAAACTCCATATATCCACGGTGACAGACTCGTCTATGTGCTCTGGTATCATAACGCATCCGTCATACTGCTACATCCCGTATCAAGCATCATCGTCATTACCGGCAAAAGCTTCGCACCCATAGAGCAGCCAAAGCTGGCAGAGAAAACTAAAAGAGGTGATGGGAGCACTCGCAAGAGGCCGAGTTGTCCGCGAGGAGACTCCGAGTAGGATACCAGAAGGCTCGATTAGGCCCCAGACCTGCTGGTCCGGCGTCGCCTTTTGACATTTCTCGAGTCATCCGACGAATGGGTGGAGTAGGACGTTGCAGCAGGAGAGATGGATCGGCCCGCTTCCTGGGCTCTCCCAGTTGCAGGGAGTATCGGCTGAAAGGACGGAGCGAGCTGAGTAGGGGGGCGCGGCGCGATGAGCTGTGGCAACATAGGCTTGAGGTCTCGCTTTGCCATGTCTGCCTTTGATGGACGGCCTCTCTTCTTTGGAGCTTTCCGAGTCTCGCCGAGGCTCGTATCTCTCTGGTCGAAGCCCGGCCCCTCTAGTGCCCCATTTGACGGTCGAGGCGCGATGTAGGCAAGGGCCGGTCTCTTGGGCGGACTGGGCGTTTTCGAAGTAAGTGACCTGCGTGGAGACGACTGGGTCATGTCTCTCGAAGTGCTGGATGCCAGAGGAGGTGAATATCGAAGAGAGGCGGGAACACCAAGCTGGTTCAGGAGCTGTAGGCACTGCTTCATGTTGCGTCCTATCGCGTCTGAGCTCGTTGTCATCGGAGTGAAAGATAGGGACGTGACTTTACCTCGTGGCAGTTGCATATTCATCAAGTCCGCTGGGATGTTATTCGCTCGGATGAAGACTGTTAGAGCCTCCACAGTGACCGGACTGGCCTTGATCACCTCGGCCAGAATGAAGCGCTAGATGACGACGGGTCAGAGAAGCAAGGGCGAATACTGAAGGCGCAGCTAACCTGCTCGTCCGGCGTTAGAGGCGAGGTAGACTCCATGGCTCGGAGTCGGCGCACTGCAAGGCTGCTGGAACGACGTATCGACTAGGGAAAGTGCGCCGTGCACACAACGCAAAGGCGGGGAATGCAGAGAGGGCTAGCGAAGAGAAATGCGGCGACCGGTGCGTAGGCATCTGCTGTGGCGTAGAACGGTCACGAAAGTGAGCGAGCGTGTTGTGATAAACGCAACGGAAGCGTTGACGGAAGTCGACCCCTCCTATTTGCTTCGCGGGCGGCCGGCGAAACCTCCCGCCAGATGGCCCTTCGAGCCTCCGTCAGCTGGGCAAAAGAAGGGCCAACCAAGGTAGTCAACTGCGAGCTCCAGGTGCCGTGTTGCGGCAGGACGCGCAAGGCCGACACGTCGTTCAAGGGTTGTCACGCCGGTAGGTCAAGTGCGCGGCAGCTCCGCCCCTCACCCGTCGCCAAGTGCCAGGAGTCCAGGACTCTAGGGCATCAGAGAGTCGTTAGGCGGCCGTGGCAGAAACGACGCGCATCAGCTCTGCGCCAACAACAAAAGAAAATGCACAGTCGCGCGGCTCATGCACCGGCTGCCGAGGGCTGGGTTAAGCGAGGGCAGTCGGCGACAAGTCGGCTTTGTGAAGAGTCGTTCCGGACCGGCAGGCCGCCAGGGAGGCAATGCATGTGGGGGATGGTGAGGCCTCAGAGGGCGGTCGTACAACATCGATCGGCGACCACAAGACCTTGGGGCGAGGCTCTGGACTTAGGGGCGAGACATCACGGGGCGCCGTGGGAAAGCGTATGGTCGTTGGAGTCCTGTGACTGCGGTCCCGTAAGAGCCCCTGATAAGATGGCTGAGAATGCCGGAGATGATGCAGGAGCGGAGTGACGGGAAAGGCGAGGACGATCCAAGGGAACGATTTGTTGCTGACGCTACACTTTCGTCGGCACATAGGCAGAGCGAGGCCCCGGGGAGCTCGCCACCCCGCGGCTCTCCCAAGTGCTATTTGCGTCTCTCTGTGGTGCCTCTCATTCGCGCTGATGACGCTGGTACCCCGTAGTGGTGGTGCCTGCGTTGGGACCAGGGTTGCAATGGACCAGGATCCCGTCGATAGACTCGTCTTTGATGCTGCCCTTACGAAGTAGGCAAGCAGGCGCAAAGGAGGCACACACAAGCCGACTTGATGGCTGCCACACCACCCTCGGGCCGTTGCACAGCGACCTATTTCGCACCTGTCGAGGCGGGTGTCCCTGTCCAGCGGAGCAGGTGGCGCAAAGGTTGTAAGACTGCAGACGGGGCGTTGGGACGGCAGCAGTCGTCGGGCTGGCCGCAATGGGAGATTGCCAAGCGTTGGTGTGGTCGCGCAGCCCGCGCAGGGCCCAAGGCTTGCTCAAGCGGCAAGCATGTGCTGTGCTCCATGGGCCGTCGTGGGTAGCACCAGGAACCAACTCCAGGGACGAGGGTTCCCACCGTAGGGGTAACAGGCCGGCAACGGGACGATCCCTCCGTCTTCCCTTGACTTCGCGGCCCGCAATAGCACGTACCGTACGTAACTCGGATTGTTGGAATTTGAGCGCCAAAGTTGGCGCTAATCAGTCGGGATGGGCGCAAGCCGATGTCGATGTGAATGAAGGCCTGGAGCGGCAGCGTCAAAGCGGCATGGTCATCTGCAGAGAATGGCGGGCCTAGCCGACAGCTCCAACTCAGCACAGCCGGGGCAGATGCTGTTGCGTTAACGAATGCATCATGTGCATGTGCGTCGGGCCGTGCCAGGGTGCAGTAGAGGGCAGAGACCGATGATGGCGGCATATGAGGACAAAATGCTGGCAAATCGGTTAGGTGGTGGCCACAAGCGCACGCAAGGCAGGCGATGGGCTCGGTCCATTCACACCGTGTGTCTGGCCGGCCTCACCGCCGCGACGGACACCACCACACCCACACAGCCCGACATTGTCAGATAGCGTGCCGGTGGAAGCACTGTGCCAAGGGACTCGCTCCGTTTGTCGAGTCCGCCTTGCTGCCGCGGGTGGCGGCGCCTTTGCCGGTCGCTCGCTCGGGTGTGCCAAGGACGCGACGGAGGTTCGACGGTCGTGTTGAACATGTTAAGATGTGCGATGCCGGGTACTTCGTACAGATGGTGAAGGCGGGAACAATGCAGGCTCTCGCATGCATCAACCTGCGGCCGCATGGTGAGGGTGGTGCTTCTTTCAAACAATGGCCAATCCGAACCTCCTTGCCAGGCCGCATGACCTTGTCTCACCCGCCACCCTTCTTCAGGCGACCGGCCATCACGATGTCCCGGTCAAAGCCCGCGCCGAGCCCTGCGATTTGACGGCTCGCTGGGCCTTGGCGAACGTGGCCCGGTTGTTTCAACACGAGCTCGTCTGTCTGGGAGGCCCAGCAATGCAGCGCACGCGATGTTGAGACTGCTCATCAAATATCCACCAGGTCCGTAGCTGGTAGCGTTCGGCAGCGCCTCGTGATGGAACAGGGCCGCAGGATGCGAGGCCCAATGAGCTTCAGAGAAGCGGATGCGTTCGTGCAGCTGCTGCTGAGGCGGGAAGCCACATCACTGGCTGCTCTCGCGCCAATCAGCCCGCAGAGAAGCAGCCTCGGTCAGCACTCTCCGTCTGCTGGCCATGTGTCGAGCTATTCATTGGAGACTGCTGAGTGCGACCTGTCGGTGGCCGGGCGAAATGGATTCGGGAGCTGGGCGGATGCCGTCGCCGAGTCGTGGCATCGGCGGCGGCGGAGTGTTGCCGGCCGGTCCATCGGCGCCGGCACCGACCACCACGGCCCTTGACCCGGACGCGCCGTTGTGTCGTTTTTGAGGCGATGTTGGATGGCGGAAGATAGAACAGCTTTATCAATCCCGATGGTAAAGAAGACGCGGTCACCGCCATTTTATAGACGGACCGCTCCTGCCCCCCGGATTCATGCACAATGCGCTGGCAAGCCCGGAGCGGCCCCACCCTGCCGTGTCGTGCCTTCCCTTTCGCCGTTGAGTGTCGGCCACGTTTCGCCACGAGAACAGATATCGAGTATCTTGGGCATGAAAACAAGTAGCATATCGTCGGGCGGCAATTTCATGCGTGTCTTCAAGAGCCAAACGCGCGAAGTCGATAATCAGCTGTTGTTGTCGAGGTCCGCAAGGGTGGGTCCGGACCGCCGCTCGATGTTCGCAACTTACAGGGTAAGGCACTCGGAGCAGCCGTCCCGCATGGGTCCGTAACGCGGAGCGGTTTCACGACGACAATGGCAGGGCCGAGGCATACGAGGCCAGCATACTTTGTATGCTTGGCGATATAACTATGCCGCCGAAAGGTCCCGTCAGACTCGTTGCCGCGGAGCAAGTCCGACCGACCTGGGTTAAATTCAGTGGATTGTGAGCCTAGTTATGGCTGCCACATGTCACTATTGACGAGAATGCATAGTCTCAACCAATTGATCTCTGAATATGGCCATTCAGCTTTCAGGGGCGTCGTATCCATCATGGAAAAGGCGCGCCACTCCCGTCTGGAGAAACGCAAACTCGAGTCGACATCGTTCTCTCCTTCGAAAAGCAGAGCTTGAGCGACGACGTCAAATATTACCCAAAAGAGACCGTCCCCATCAAATCTGCCTTCTGGCCCGGCCATGCCGTAAGTTACACGTTGGTGCCGTGTCAGGGCAAGACAGCTTCATCTGTTAACAAGCCAGAAAGCCAGAGCGCCTACGGATCCTGAGATAGTTTAGGGTAGGCACCCCAAACAGTAAACAAGGAGCGCCGAGGAAATGAGGGAACTTGGGAGAGGCAGCGTTTAACTCCATCGACGAACATTTTGGTTTGTGTAAGGATATGCTGGCTCGGGACAAGATGCCGGAGGTGTCCTAGTTTGAACCGCGTGGAGTGATATGGTGAAGTGGTCCTCGGGCTTCCTGATCTCTCCGCACTCCAATTGAGCAGCTCGGCTGGTACCGAGAAGCGCCTGCCAAGTATCTGGTGACCTCCCATGAAAGCGTTGGGATTATATGTAGGTATGTGTTCACGCAGAGTAATAATTCGTCCGTCTCTGTCTGTGTCGCGCGCTCGATCGCCCGATGATACCAAGCGCACATCGAAACGAAGACGCGATGATGACGGGACCGTCGACTGCCGGAGGGCACGCACTTCGTAGAGATCTCATGAAATATTACACTTGAGGGCCACCGAGTGACACATAAGCAGTCGATATGTTGGACGCGGAGTCTTCGACTATGAAAAGGAGCGTGTCAATTTCAGTGTATCGGCAGGGCGCGAGAAGGACGTTTCTTAAATCGCGGCCCCAGCGTTGACTCCGTTGAGCACGAGTAGGTGTGGGCGGGTCCCAACCTTGCAAGGTCGTAGCCAAGATGGCGGGGGCGATCAACGGACGGGCCACTGCGCGGGGCGGACCTATTAATTTTCCGCCCGGGGCGCGCTGCAGCACCTGCAGCATGGCGCCAGCTCCACTGCAGCCGCCTGAGCACAGCACCGCACAGCACCTGGGCACACCTCACCTCAGCCCACTGGAGGAGGCTCCAGCGGAGGCTCTCAATTCAATGCCCTGGGCGGCGATTGGGGTGGCGCGCAGGTGCGGTGCTTCCAGGTTGCTTACCTACTGGAAGGCGTGTTCCATTGCAACTTAGCACGACGGACAGCCAGATCCGCATCCACCTCCTCAGGCTTAACCGAACCTGCCTCCCTCCCTCCCCTTCCTTTTGCTTCATCTTTCGCCGCGACGGGTGCAAGGCCACATGCATCCCGACCAAGCTTGATCCCGCTCAAGCGCCTTTCTCCCGCCTGCCGCCCGCTCCGTACACGAGCTGCTCCCTGTCTCAGAACTTGCGCGGCTGCGCTTCTCCAGCCGTCAAAGCGGCCTCGCGCGCGCTCTTTGCGTCTCCCGTCGCGAACTCGCACCTGCGCCTTGTCCTGTCGCCCGCCCTTCGAGGCTCCAACCACGACCACGGCTTCGACCCGGACGCGAATCTCGAACCCGCGCAGTTGCGCCTCACTCAAACGACCGCAGTCCCTGCTGCCAATGCTCAAATGGAGGATGACGAACACGCCGTCCGGAAAATGAGCAGGGTTAAACTCGAGGACGGCGTTGCCAATGGCGCGCTGGCGGACGTGGACGCAGATGGCTTGACGCCGGCCCCCGACGCGAGAAACGGGAAGTCCCCTTCCTCTTCAAACGATGTCGATGGCATCAAGCCCCGCGGCGAGAGCGTCGGTACCCCCAGCTCCTCGAAGCCCCCCGGGCTGTCTCGAAAATCGTCCCAACGTTCGGCCGCACGCGAGGCGCCGCTGTTCGATCACCTTCCCGACATGACCTCCGATTCCTGCCAGACCTTCCAGGTCATCTCCGACTGCCTCTACGGATCAAAAAATCTGGGCTCCACAGATAACGACGCGCTTGACTGCGACTGCAGGGAAGACTGGCGTATGCGCTCTCTCTTCGCGGCCGCGGCCCCGTTTTGGCAGACAGAGTGAGTGCTAACCTACGGTCTGCAGAAAATGGCGAGAACCATGCCTGTGGCGAGGACTCGGACTGCATCAACCGAGCAACGAAAATGGAGTGCTGCGCTGATGCCGGCAACTGCGGCGGCGGTTGCCAGAACCAGAGGTTCCAGCGCAAGCAGTGGGCCAGCGTTTCCGTCATCAAGACAGAAAAGAAGGGCTTCGGGCTGCGCGCCGACGCGTTCCTGCAGCCCAACCAGTTCATTTACGAGTATATTGGCGAGGTCATCAACGAGCCCACCTTCCGCCGCCGCATGCTCCAGTACGACGACGAGGGCATCAAGCATTTCTACTTCATGTCGCTCAGCAAGAGTGAATTTGTCGACGCGACTAGAAAGGGTAATCTTGGCCGCTTCTGCAACCACTCGTGCAACCCCAATTGCTACGTCGACAAGTGGGTGGTCGGGGACAAGCTGCGCATGGGTATCTTCGCTCTGCGCAACATTCGTGCCGGCGAGGAGCTGGTCTTCAACTACAATGTCGACCGCTACGGGGCCGATCCGCAGCCTTGCTATTGTGGAGAGCCCAACTGCGTTGGCTTCATCGGCGGCAAGACGCAGACGGAGCGCGCGACCAAGCTGCCCGCAACCATCGTCGAGGCTCTCGGTATCGACGATGCTGACGGGTGGGACACGGCCGTCGCCAAGAAGCCGCGGAAGAAGCGGCCTGATGAGGAAGACGAAGAGTACGTCAATAGCATACAGGCCCGCAGTTTGGACGAAGACGATGCCCGCAAGGTCATGGCGGCGCTCGTGCAGTGCAAGGAGAAGTGGATCGCTGTCAAGCTTCTGGAGCGCATTCAGCGTTGCGACGACGAGCGTGCCATCCATTCCGTCATGCGCATGCACGCATACCAGATTTTGAAGACGACGCTCAACACCTTTATCGACGACCACAACCTGGTCCTCCAGGTGCTCGAGATCCTGGACAAGTTCCCGCGCCTTACCAGGAACAAGATTCAAGACTCCAACATCGAAGCCACGATTCAGAATCTTGCCTCGTCTGAGCACGAGGACGTATCATCGCGGTCCAAACAGCTCCTAAAGGACTGGAGCAAGCTGGAGGTGGCATACCGCATCAGACGGCGCAAGGTTGACCCCAATGCACCTGTGCAGAATCTTTACGAAGAACGTCGTGGCGGCCAAGCTCGCGAGGAGGAGACGGCTCAGTCGACACCCAAGACGGCTTCACCTCGCCCCCCCGACGCCCCCAAAGGACCTCGCAGCAACGTTCCCCAACGTAACAACTCCTTCTTCTTCAACTCGCAGCGCCAACGACGCCCCCCTCTCCCCGACGGGTGGTTCACCGCCAAGGATGGAAGAGGTAACACCTACTTCTATACCAAGTCTGGGAAGACCACATGGCAACGACCAACACTTCCGGCGAGCGATTCCGCTCAAAAGGGACCCTCGAAGGCCATACAGGAGCAACTGGCCATTCAGAGTATCATTGACAAGGTGACGAAGGAAGGCACCCCGAAGCAGCCCGCGTCTCAGCCAAAGGAAGTGTCCGAGGTGCATCCGGCGGAGAGTAAAAAGGGCAAATGGCGGACTCTGCCACAGGACAAGCAGATGAAGATTTACGAAAACACGGTAAGCCACCCTTTGAAGACGTTTCTCGCGCCAAGCCGCAGATTTTGACCTCTTTCAGGTGTTTCCTACCGTGAAACATGTCCTGGACAAGTTCCGCCATAAGCTTCCCAAGGACGAGTTGAAGAGACTGGGCAAGGAGATTGCCAAGAAGCTCGTTGCATCGGACTACAAAAACAATCGGGTCGAGGATCCTACGGCCGCGCTCAACGAGAAGCAAGTGCTGAAGATCAAGAAGTACGTCTCGGACTTTCTGAACCGAGCTGTCGAGAAGTACGGCGCCCACCAGAAGCGAAAGGGTGCCAAGGACAGCCCCAGCTCCGGCGATCCTGCAACGCTCGGACAGCATGGAAAGACACAGTCGGACGCGGCGAGGGACGAAGAGAAGTTTGACGGGACCGAGGATGCCACCATTAGTGATGCTGGTTCTCCGAGCAGCCTAGATCGGAAGCGCAAGCGAGACGCAGAACTGGCTGATTCTGCCAGTGCAACTCCATCGGAAGGGCCGGATATCAAGAGGCTGAAGGAGGGCGATACCGGAGAGCCCAGCCCCCCACCTCCACCACCTCCACCGCCCGAGTCTGCGCCTGAGGATGAGATGGCGGACGAGCGCAGGGCTTTGCGAGAGCAGGAAGAGGCGCTCGAAAGGGAGAATGAGGAGGCCCAGCGTCTCGAGGATGAAGCCAACAAGACCAAGATGATGGAGGACGCGGCTGAAGAGATGCGCAAGGATATCGCACTGGCAGCTTGAGGGCCCTGCCGATGCTTTCAGCTCGGCTGCGGAACCGATTTTGCATTTCGCTGCGGCACAACGATGCTTTCCCGCGACTTCAGACGGGCGATCGTGCACCTATATTAGGGACATTGATTCGGAAACAAAAGCATGCTCTGCCCGCCGCGAGCTATGCAGGTTTTTATACGGGCGGTGGGCATATTCCGGAGTCAAGGTGGGGGCGGCCAGCATTCCGGGGCTAGATGTACTATATTGCACTGAGTATTTGAGGGCTATCGGTGTATTTGTACTGGATCATCAAAACGGGGACCGGAGTGAAGGGCGCCGGGGACGGTCATGGAGGCCACTCGTCGACATGCAGCGGCCGATACTGGAGGGATGAAGGCGATGCTACCTCGCGTCATCCGAACCACCATGTGGCCGTTGGCAGAAGACGACTCGGTCCGAAAGGAGAAGCGGCCTGTACGCCGGGACAGGGCTTCTACAGGCGTTGACACGGGAGGAGATACCACAGACTTTTAAGCTATTCCCACGGGTCGTGCTGCGTCTCTCCAGAGTGATTCCAGAATGCTCGCCAGTGACGCCAAGAATTGCGGCCAGTCGAGCTTTGAGCCAAACCCCGATGGACAGGCAAAAGCCTGGCGATTCTCATATCCAGGCAGGTGGTCTGGATATGTGCCCAGAGAACGGGGCGGGTCGATACATGGCACAGGGTGGATCTATACATGAATTGTGCACAGAAACCTCTGAAGATGAAGAGATGACTGCTGAAACGCCTTACAGATCTAGGTACCATATGTATGAGTGTAACACGCGCACGCCAGGGGTATCCAAAGCTCAGTCATCATCATCGTCAGAGGAATCGTCGCCCTTCTTCCTCTTCTTCCCCGTCCCCGCCGCCGCGGCCTGAACCTCGCCCTTCCTCCTAAAGACGTAGCTCCTCGCAGGCCGATCCTCGCCGCGCCACCCGCCGCCAACCTCCCCCTTGCGGCTGCGCACGACGCCGCAGGTGCGCGCGTGGCGATAGCCCGGGTAGGCGGCGGCCTGGAAGCGGAAGCTGCGCTCGACGGCGAGGCCGGCGTGGCGGGCCAGGTCGCGGACGTTCCACAGCGTGTAGGGCTCGCCCTCGAAGAGGGTGACGACGAGGGAGCCGCCGGGGGCGAGGGCCGGGGTGGCGCGCTCGAAGAAGGCGACGAGCAGGGACTGGTTGTGGCGCACCTGGCGGTTCGTGTCGGTGGACTTGCCGCCGACGTGGGGGAAGTTGAAGAGGATGTGCTGGAAGTGAGGGGGGCGGAGGAGGGCGGGCGTGAGCTTGGTGGCGTCGACGTTGTAGAGGAGCTTGTTGTTCTTGGGGAGGGAGGGTTTGCGTTTTGGGGCGGCGTCTTCGTAGTCCTCGTCGTCGGTTGGGTAAGCTTCTTCGTCGTCGTCATCTTGTTCCTGGTCGTCTCCCTCTGCGTCTTCGGCTTCGTTATCTTCTTCCTCCCGGCCGCTCGAAGCGTCGCTTTGGTCCTTGTCGTCTTCCTCGGCGTCATCCACCTCTCCCTCTTTCCCTTGCCGCTCCTCCTTCTTCTTTGCTTCCACTTCCGTACCCATTATCACAGCAATATTCTCGTCGACAGTCGGGTACTTGGCAACCAGCTCGGCATGATCCCTCTCCAACACCGTGGCAGTCACGTTGACGCACCCATGATGCGCAACGATGCTCGCCGCAAAGCTCAAATCGCCTTCACCCACGAGCAATATCCGGTCCTCGGGCTCGAACGGGATGATGGGCCTCTCGTGCTGAGCTTGTTGCCGTTGCCGTTGCTGGGCCTGCTTCGTCTTCTGCTTCTTCGACGGGGGCGGCCCGTGACGCGCCTTGCTCGAGGAGGAGCTGCCGCCCGTCCGCAGTTCTAGCAGGGGCTTTGGCTTGGGCCGCTGCGGTTGCTGCTTGATCCTGCGCCGGTTCGCCATGGCGGCGGGAGAGGCCGGGGGGGAGGCGAGGGGAGAGGAAGTCGTCGCACACGGTGGGCGCGGTTCGGACTTTTGTCGCGGGCGGGCGGGCGGTCGTTGTGTAAGAGGGACAGGAAAAAAATGCACGTATGAGGTCACCTAGCGTCCCGTCCAGATCGGGGTTCATGTGTCGCGTCCGGCGGCGGGCCGCTACCGAGCCCCCTGCGCGCAGCGGCAGGACGCCTGGATTTGGGGCTACACCCCCCACTGTAAATGCACCAGCCGGACGGGAAGCTAGTGGGCTTTTCCTCGTGGTTCCGGTTCCAGGTAGGGTCGCATTTGAGTGGCGCATCCATCCGACTTTCGTACCACCGGGGAGTACTGCATCACAAACCCGTCATGAATCATGCTGTTCGCGCATTCTGCCGCGACAAGGGTTGAGATGCGGCCAGGTACAGGGGAGTATTGGGGTTTGGTACTTCGTACAGGAAAGCATGGGACCACCATGTGTGTCGCGTGGAGACCGAATGCTTGTGCAATCGTGAGACGAGTATTGTGTCAAGTACTTTGTACCTCACCCTGCACTGTAAAAGCTTCCTGCCGCCGACACCCGTGAACCACCACCCGTTAGAGGTACTTTCACTCTGTCGTTGGCGGGACAGCCTCGAACCATTACATCCTTCCGCGTGATTTCGCCCGCGGGCTTGGACATGGCCATCGCGACGCGATTGACTGCCCTGCACTCATACCAAGCTTCGTGATCCCCGCGACAGCATCGTCATGCGCGCTCGCTAATCGACGCATCTCCGGCCATGGCGTCCCCGTCGCAATTCCGCTTTCTGACCGCCTCGGTCGCCGCCCGGCTCCACGCGCGACACATCGCCAAGGCCACCTCCACGCAGCCGAACCTCCTCGAGTCGGCCATCTTCTCGCCCGTCAACCACGAGCGCTACGGCCAGACCGACGTGTTCCAGCTCGCCGCCGTCCTGGCCGAGAAGATCATCCTCAACCACCCGTACCAGGACGGCAACAAGCGCACGGCCCTGTTCGCCGCGGACGCCTTCCTCAAGGTCAACGGGTACATTCTGCAGACGAGGCCGCGCGGCGTAGACGACGCGGAGCTCAATGACCGCCTGGCGGATGCGCAGGTGCACGTCGCCACGAAACGGTGGACTGCGGAGGACTTGGGGGGGTTTTACGAGAGCATTGCCGAGTCAGTCGCTGCAGCAGGACATTCAAATCAGCCATGAAGATCGTCAAGGCGAGACGCCCGGTTATGAAGGAGAATACAATGTGCTTAGTCTGCTCAGCGCCGTGACTGGCTTCTATCCTGAGAAAAACATACATGGCGCCCGCTATCTGTCCTTGAGAAGTGTAGCGGCGCCCTCCAATCTCTCGTTGCTTTCACGACATGACTCCTCAAATGCGTCTGTGATTTCGTCAGCTTGAGCAGCTCGCGGCAGTAAGCTAATTCATGTCGCACCATCCGCGGTTCCATCGAGAGTAATGGCATTCGTCGCGCCCCAGAGCCACAGGGTAGCTGGGCTCGTGACGGCAGTGCTCTGTCGTGGGAGGTCCTGATCGAGGACAATGCGCGGGTATGCCGCTGAGACTAGTGCACGTTAGGATAATGCACTTCTATTGTCTCGAGCACGCAAACGCACCGTGAGCAAAGTGATGGGTGTCGTGGTAGAAGACGAGAGGGACCATCACTCCAGCTGCTGTCTGGCAGACCGTCTCCCGCGGAGCGAAAGCATGGCCGATATTTCTGTCAATCACCACATACGCATCCTGTGAGTCACCCATGAAGACGTCTAGAGGTTGTGAATGGAGGTTTCCGTCTGTTTTGCGAACAACGAAATGGGCTTTCCGCTGATGAAACGCTCTGTAAGTGCTCGGATGGGGAGCTGGCCCGCCACGGCCACGCAGCGCCGCCGCGGCCCGCGACTGAACGCCGAGCCTCAAAGTCATTGCCTCACACGAGTAGCACGAATGCGACCTTGGCAAGCATCAAGCAATCCGTTGCAGTCTCCGGCGGCTGCCCCATGCCACGGCATACGGACCAGGTGATGTTGAAGGAGGGTTGGCGACGATTAGTCATCCGCGATCGGCCCGCCGCCCTGGCATGCCAGCCGCCCCGCATTCGACAGAAGGGGGAAATTGCGGAGCCCGCGAGCGCACGAGATCCTGTGGGTTGCCCTGGGGCTGGCAACCTTGGAAGCTGCGCTCGATCGGCTGACAGGAGCCAAGCGCGCTGTGCAACCCGAGCACCACAGGGTATGGAATAGCCGGGGCGACGTTTCGTCAGTCGAACGGCGGCCGCGCAACTTTTCGTGGCCTCCGTCGCCAGCTTGGAATGAAGACGGCGCTGGCCGTGTGCTGATGCCAGCTTGTTGTCGCGGTGCCACTCGAGGCGGGCGCAGGGGTTTCTGCCTACCCAAAATGAAACGCCAGCCATGACTAGCGACGGGCAACACGGTCTGCCACGAGCGTGTGTGCAGCTTTGGCGGCAACCCCCAGCCTCAGTTATTCTGGATGACGCAGAGCGACAGAAGGCATCTTGTCCTCTTACTTGGCCGGGCGTGTGCGATCAGACCCAGAGGAAATATATAAGTACTGGGTAAGAAGGCTGACTCTGGGGTTCGAGGCTTCTCACGTTGAAGCGCGCATCTATTAGTTCATTGCATGTCGCCCCAACCTGGCCAAACGATTCAGACAGTAACAAAGTAATTCATGGAGGTCGCGGTATCCAGAATGCATTTGATCGATGTGCTAATTACGTATTTCGTAGATGCGATCTCTCTTCGCCATTCTTCTTGTTCTTGTCCCGCTGATGACAGTACCGCATGGAACCTCGGCAAGAAGCGGTCCCGACCGCGCGTACCTGGACCGCCCGGACCGGTTGATAACTGACTGCAGGGACATCGATCCCAGATGCATGTACGAGAAAACCGAAGACCCCAATGTGGCCAGAAATCTCAGCAAGCTCGTCTCAGCGCTTCCCGATAAAGCCGAGTTCGGACTGGAATATCCCATCGCCTGCCACCAGCATGGTCGGTACGGTTTGGCTTCTGAGCCTGCCGGATTCTGCCTCTTCTTCGTGGGGCCGAAACGACCTTGGAAACGCAGTGGCAGCGAAGTCAAACAGCTGGCCGCCGCAATCGCGAAGCGGGCCGAGGAAGACAAAGATTGCAATTCCAAATGTGGGAGGGCTTACTATAACGCTTGGGTGACGCTCAATGTAAAGCTCAAGCTCGACTACGTGCTCAGTTCATGCAAGGGCCTATGCTAGAGCAGGGAGAGGAGGCAATCCAGTACTTCTGGCAGGGCCAGGCCGGGCGGGCTCGTAAACCTAGCTTACTGCCTTGGTTATCTGGATTCTGGTGACAAGTTGACAACAAACTGCACTTGGTATTCCGAGGCAGCCACCAACGCGCTGTGCACACGTGACGCTTGTCCATCTTCCCAAAGGTCGGCTACTGGCTTGGCCATCGACCTGCTCGGCGAACCGTCGCCGACGCCCTGATGACATGGCCCTTGAAATGACGAGGCGGTGTCGTCTCTCCGTGACGCCGCAAAGCCTTTCATTGCAGGTTTGCTTGCCAGACCATGTGGGCAAGCAGGACGGACATGCATGTCTCCAGTACCTGGACTGCCACGAAGCCCCAGGGGCAGCGATGCTCCCGGGCTTGGTTAATCCGCTTCTCCGGGCCAATCACGAATTGTAGAATCGATTCAACCCGCACCGATTGGGTATTAGTGCGCTGTGCTGTCGCAACGCCGCCAATCACCAGCCGCCAATGTAGGCTGGCTGGCAAGTGGTGACGCCGTGGGGCGGGCTTGCTGCCAGTCGGTGGGCTGCTTGTCCTCGGTACTTGGGGCGCCCAAAGAGGAAAAAAGGGGACCCGGTGGCCAGGTCTGCTGTGCATCCCCAGCGGCGTGTGTGGCTCCGGGCTGCTCCAGGTTGACCCCGTCCAAGTTTACAGTTTGCGAGGCCACTCACTCACTCACTCACTTGCTCACACTCTCGCACATCTTCGAAACCCGACGCTTCCATCGCTCGCCCGTCTGCACATCACCGCCTGTGTGCACGTCTTTGTCTACCGGCGCCCGCTTGCATCAGACACGCTCCCTACCCGAGTGCAAGTTTTTACTACGCGCCAGGGCGTGTTGCGCTGCTCCAGCGAGGCTGCTGCTCTGCTCTCGTTTTGGCCTCTACAGAGGGACGGGCAGTACCTACCGTGTCGCCTGAGGCGCCAGCCGCTACAGGTACGTGCAGTGACTGACGGGTGCCGCTGGCCGTGCAGAACCCGCCTGCAGCAAAGAACCTAGGTACTGACGGGTGACCGGCGCAGCACCAGCGCCAGCGCCAGCGGACTCGCGGGAACGCTATTCTTGGGGGCCGCGCCCATTGTTTCCCGCCCGCGCGCCAGCCCGCCCCCCGTCTGCCTTACACCCACCTCACCTCACCTCAGCCTGCCAGACCCGGCGAGCCGAAAAACTTCCTGCACCTCGCCTTATTACACACCTTTCTCCTCGACCAGGGTGCGTCGGACTGCCATCACCCTTCAAACCTCACTTTTCATCCACGCGCGACGCCATCGCATCGCCCTCGCAGCCATCATCGCTTGCGCGACTGCATTTCTCTTCCCTTGAACCTTATTCTGCCGTTTGTCATTTGTTTGTCGGCGAAGCCATTTCTGCGCTTTCTCGTGCCCGGCGCGACCCCATCTGAACCGTCTGCCAACCAAGCATTCTGCCCAGGCACCCGTCAACAACCGACCAGGCATTGTTCTTACTTATTGATGCTTGCATCTCCCTTCATCACCTCCGCCTTTCCCTTTTGCAGCCTCTCGTTACTGGCACGCCAAGGGCAACATCGCGTGACGAAACCACTGCGGTGTGCTTTCGCTACCTCATTCTCACAAACCCCAAACACCTCTTCACCCCCTTCGCCGCCAACCGGCAACACACACCGCCCACGTTACATGAACTCGCTGCAAGGCCTTCATAACCATGGCAACTGAGGCCCCGTCGCCAGCCGCCTCGCAGTCCCGGCCTACTAGGGGAGGCCGTGGCGGCAGAGGCGGCCGTGGCGGAGGCAGAGGCCGAGGAGGAGGCCGCGGCGGAAAGGCCAAGGCCACCACCACCAAAGACTACAAAGTCGTTCCGCGCGGCATCTTCAACTCGCGTGGCAGAGTTAAGACCTTTGTCCAATCGCGTCCCCAAGCATCCTTTGACCGCCAGCGGCACCTCAAGGACACGTTCCGTGCCGTCTGCAAATCCGTCAAGCCTGCCCTGGAGGAGCTGGCCAACCGTACAATCGGCCGCTTAACGGGCCGCAAGGACGCCTACAAAGACTACGATGAGACCCCAAAAGTCAAAGCCGCCCTCGACGCGAGGTTGGCCGAGGTCGAGCGGCAGGAAAAAGTTCGTCTTGACCTGGGCGTGGAAATGGCAAAACGGAGACTCGACGCCGACGAAACCGTTGCAAACATGCAGTACAAGGTATGAAGTTTCTTTATCGCTCAAGCTCGCGTCATGAATTTTCCTCGTCACCATCGTCACTCTTTCTTGCTTTCTGGTCCTTCCAAAGTGCTGCCGAGCACGGGCGTCTTGCCCGTTGCAGGCCTGGCCTGACCGCCCCGCCCCGCCCCGTTGCACTACGAGACAGAAACCTGATGGCTGACTGCTTGCGATACAGAACGGAGTCGAAGAGTTGCATGAAGAATTCTACGACGGCGTGCTCGAAAGACTTCGCGTGCTCGAGGTCATGCACGCAAAGGACCTTCCCGTCGACGTAAGCTTCTTCCCGCCTCACAAGCGCTAACGCTGCTGACATAATTGACACAGGTCCGTGATGATCGTTACAAGTACAAAGTCATCTCTGACGATCACCTTGACAATGACTTTGGTGTCTACAAAGAGTACAAGGATGGCATTCTCGTGCCGTATCCTGCTCGAGTGGAGGGCACCAAAAAGTATAGGGAGAGCCAGCGATCTCAGGAGGACGCCAAAGCCGACAAGGCCGCAAAGGCTGCCGCGCTCAAGGAGAAGAACAACACCGGCACCAGAGGCCGCGGAGCTCCGAAGCGAAGGGCCCAAGATCTGCCCGAGGATGCACCGACGCCAAAGAAGGCCACTCGGACCTCTGCCCGCCTCGCAGCGGCCGGTCTCTCTGAGACGGGTGCCGCCAAGGGTTTACTTGCGGCCGACGAGGAGGCTTCCGCTCCATTTGGCACCGAGACGCCCGATGCCGAGGATTCCACGCCCGGATCCCCAGAGCCCGAGGAAGGTCCCGCCGCAAATGCCACTGAGGGTCTCTTCTTGCCCAAGTCGGCCACGGACGCCGATGAATACGGCCTTCGGTCGTGCGAATGGCGCCATGACGGAGTCAATGTCATCCACAACCGCTTCATTGTACCCCCATATTTCAAGTTCGGCAACTGGGAGATCGGCTTCAGCGACTCGCGCAATTCTAAGGAGCATCAGCGCAAGAAGCAGGCAGCCGCCAATCCTTTCACTGGCAAGCCGAATTCCGGTGCCTGGTACTTCGATCACAGAATCGTGGATTACGACTCGTCTCAGCTCACGGCTAGAAGCTTCGATCAAGAGACTGTGGCCAAACATGGCCTCCATCCCACGACCGGTCTGTTCCTCGCAGACAGCAAGAACGACCAGGAGCCGGCTGAACCCTACGTCATGCCTGGCAAGCCTGTCGTCTACATTGCGAACCCCTCTGGACGGATCGTACATGCTTCCCGGTCGTTCCAAGTCACGACCACTCAACGCAGCGTTGAGGAGGCATCCGATCGGGCTGACATGCGAGCCGCCCTTCACAAGTTCTGCAAGAAGAACGACATCGACCCTGAGGCTTTGGACCTGACTGGCTATACCATGTCCGATGAGCAACTCCTTGCCAAGTCGCTCGGAACAGCAGAGCTCGAGGATCAGACCCAGTCTGCCTCCGAGGAAACCACCTCTGACGCGGAAAATGCCCTCCAGTCCCCTGCCGACGCAAACACCGACTCTCGCGAAGATGGCGTGACCGGACTTTCTATCTTGACATACGCCAGTGCTGTGTGCCAGGCTCAGGATCTATCGCGTGCCGCTCCAGCGGTGGCCAAGAGCTCTCGTTATGATGCCATTCGCGACGTGTTCACATCGTCCAAGCCCGATCCCACCCCAACACAGGATGCTGGCTCGTATGGCATGAACATGCTAGCCCAGATCTGCAACGTCGAGCCTCGTGTGTCTGGCGCCACACCGAACGTCAGCCACGCCGCTCTTGCGGCTGCCCTCGGACAAGGGCAGACGTCGCAAGCTACTGCACCGAGCAGCGATGCGGCCGGCGCCTATGCCACTGCAAGCAACGTTTCGGCTCCTGACCAGCATAAGGGCGGCCAGGACCAGACAACGCACCATGCCCAGCAGCACGAGGCAACCCTCTCTACACTTGAACCACAACACGAATATCCAGCCCAACAACGCGGCCACGCCCTACCACCACCTCCCGCGCAGCAGCCAGACAGAGGCATGATGGCACCCACCATGCCTCATGAGAGAGGGGTTCAGCAGCAGGACCAAGGCATGATTCCTCAGATGCAGGCACAGCAAGACAGTGGCGTGATGCCTCAGATGCAGCCGCAGCAGGACAGCGGCATGATGGCCCCGATGCACCCACAGGACAGCCGCATGATGCCACATCCCGCGGCTCAACAGGGAGGCGCAATGATGCCACACCCAGACGCCAGACATGGCGAGTACCTGCACCAACAGCCTCCTCACCACGGCGGCCAAGGCATCCAGGCCCCGGAACAACACTACCGGGCTCCAAGCTTCTCGCATCCAGACGCTCGCGAGCCCCCTTATCCACCTGTTCGCCCTGGCGATCAGGCTTACGACCAGCGGGGAATGGCGACGTACGCGGGAGAAGCACAGCAACCTCCTCCGCAGGGATATGGCAGCCAGCCTCGCTGGGATGCACCAACTCAGGCGGGACCGGTGCCAGTTGCGCCAGCGGGCGCACCTCCGCACCAGTATCCTCCCCTCCCGCCGCCCACTCTTGGAGGCACGACCCCGTCGAGAATTCCATTCTCGCTCAACGCCAGCGCAGACCCATTGCCTCCACTGCGCCCTACCCGAAGCCGATTTCAGCTGTTGACATCGGAGGACACTATGCACGAGCAAGGCATTCGGTCGGAGGCCGATGGCTACTATCCTCAAGGCCACCACCGCGGCTATGCACGTGGATATCAGGAGCCGCCACTCGCACCCGAGAGAATCTTACCTAACCCGCAGCAGTCCGGTCAGCAGGCATACATGGTATCACCGCCTCCCCAGGGATTCACCCACCAGCAGCCTTTGGCTCATTCGCCCACGCTCGGAAATCTACCCACCATGCCGGGCCAACCGATCCAGCAAAGCCCCCCCGGAACGCCTCACGGATCTGCCCACCACCATCGATCTACCCCGTCGGGCGACGCGGGCAATGGGAAGTACCGCAAGCTGCAGCCGGCGCCTGTACCAGCGCACAGAGCTTGGAATAACAAGCCAGAGCTCAAAACGATTCTGTATGACCCTAAGGAGACGGGATCTTCCGCGGCGCTGCCGAGCTCTGGCCCTACTACCATTAGAGGTTGGAATGTTAACCAGCCTCGGAAACGCAGCAAGCAGGACCGGACAGACTCTGCCAACGATCGGGAGGACTCCAGATAGAATCAGAGCGCCCAGTCGACCCAAACCGCCCAGCTTCCCACCCATACGAAGTACCAGAGTATTAGATTCGCACGGCCCGAGATCCCCGCGTCGTTTGCCCTTGTTCAGTCGGAACCCAACCCGCGCCCTGAGGCCAATATGAATGCCGCTGCAGTGCCGACTAGTCCGTCATTCGATCCTCAGCAGACGGAAATGTATGGGTTCGGGGCCATTCCGACCATTGGAAATGGCAGTGCTGGGACTGGACAGGATCACGCGCAAACAGCCGCCCCGGCACGCAGAATCAAGATCAAGCTCATCACCAAGGAGGCCAGACAGAGGATGGTAGCAGAAGCAGAAGCAGCAGCTGCGGCCGCGAAAGCGAAGGCGAAAGCGAAAGCGTCGAAGAAGGGCAAGAAGGCCTCGACGAGCGAGGAATCGGCTCCAGCTGCTGCCCCGGGCAAAGCCAAGAAGAGAAAGGCCCCTGCATGCGAGAACTCGGCTCCAGCTACTGCGCCCAGCAAGGCCAAGAAGAGAAAGACCTCAGCGTGCGAACAATCGGCTTCATCTACTGCGCCCAGCAAGGCCAAAGAGGAGAAGCCTACCCCGGTGTCCGAACAGTCGGCCCCAACCACTGCGCCTAGCAAGGCCAAGAAGAGAAAGGCCTCGGCGTGCGAGGAATCGGCTCCAGCTACTGCGCCCAGCAGGGCTAAGAAGAGAAAGACCACGGCAAACAAGGCTGCCCCGGCGCAGCAGTCGACCAACAGCGACTCGAACAACGCAGTTGAGAATCCCCCTGCCACCAGCAATGCCGTTGCGGCCGTTTCTGCACCCGCGGCCACTGCCACGGACAGCCAGGCTGCCGTTGAAAACGCGGACACGGAGCTCAAGAACGAGACTCCTCTGAAGAAGCGTCTGCGGTCCACCAGGGCGAAGACTGCGAAGAAATGAACCCGAACTGCAACACGCGACGTCATCAGCAGACCGCGGGCGTACGCTCATCGGTTACGCGCTCTTACGGCCAAAAGCTCCTGCTTTCTCGAAAGGCTGAAGCGATGGGTCGCACCTTGCACATACGACAACGACAACATCATCATTAATTGCTTGCGTTTGACTTTGACTTTGATTGAGAGCCCAGACACGGCTCTCCTCTCGCCCCCCGGAGGGGCTCTGCGTGGACTTTGCCACGTGATCGATCGACTGCGTGACGGCCGACAAGAATCTTGTTGAAGGCGGCCCCCATGCTTTTCCTGACTTTTGAACCACGGCGTACACGAATGGATATACCCACCACTTCTTCGAGAAACTGGCGGCGCGCCCGCTACACGCCGTTTTGCGTTTCCCCTGTTTCTGTCTCTCCCCCTTGGGCCTTTGGCAAGTCTGGGCGGAGGAAAGGAACGGGGACGGGGGGACGGCTCAACGGGTGCTTTTTGGCGAGGCAAGGCGCCTTGCTTTGGAGTATCAGAAAACTCTGGGATACCCTCTTGAGACTGGGGTTTTGGTGGCTTTTGAGATTTTTCCTCTTCTCGGCGTTTTTGGGGAGCGAAACGGCGCTCAGGTGGGCGGGCGGCTGCTGACAGCTCTCTGACTTTTTGTGTGTGAGATACTTGCGCTGCCTCTCAGGGGCGGGCACATATCATGGAATGTAACAACATCTGACAACTTTGTCCTGTGCCATCATTGTGATTTTGTGTGCATCTTGTGTGTTGGTGAACGGTGCAGCGGGCTGTGCTGCTGTTTTTGCCCGTCCATCTATCTACCCCGTATTCAACATTTTGCTGCAGTACATCGTACAAACCGTTACCCTCAGTAAAACCCCGCCCTTTTACGACTCAGAGGGCTTGCTGTCCTGCCCCTCGGTCTGTTGTCCCTGTTCTGCGCCCGACGCCGGCGCTGCATTTGCCGATCCTCCCTGCGCAGCTGACGTGGGATCCTGCACGCTGGTCGACTGTGCGTCGGTCGTGGCGCCTCCCATGGCCACCTGGCCGTTAACATCGCCCTGGGCGAGTCCAGCACCGTGGCTGCCCACGCCCATGCCGCCCATGCCGTCCACGGGCGCCATGTGTCCCATAGCCGCGGCATCCATGCCCATTCCTCCCATCCCCGGCATGCCCAGCATGGCGGCCGGGTCCAACATCATGTCGCCGCCGTTGGGGGCCATGGCGTTGCCCCCAAGCGAGAGGAGGCCGGCCCCCAGCGCGCCCTCCGGATGCAGGGGGTACATGACGGCCTCCATCTTGTCACCGTCAAAGACGACCATGTTCTGTATGGGCTGCTGGGTCTGACCGAGGACGTTGATGACATCCTGCGCGAGCTGGCCGCCGAGGATGGCCGTGACGGGGGCGATCTCGCTGCCCAGGTTCTGGAGGAAGCTGCGCAGGAACTCGGGCCGCAGCGTCTCGCTGGGGAGGCTGAGCGCCTTGTGCTTCTGGGTGGCGATTTGCGTGAACATCTTGAGGTCGTCGCGGTTGGATGTGGAGGGCAGGACGCCGCCCTTGAGCTGCTTGAACTCCCACAGCGCGCGGAAGCACGAGAGCGCGGGCGTAACGCTCCTGAGGCGCCGCTTCGACTTGAGATACTCCTCTGGCAGCACGGCGAGGTCGCTGGCGAGGAACCAGGTCGAGTACAGCTCCCGCTTGGTGACGCTCTCAGTCGTCTTGGACCCCTCCGTCTTGGTCTTGACGTCGATGATGGAGCGCGTCCGCGTCTCCTGCTTGGGCTCGGTGGCGACGTTGCCCAAGTCTCGCTCAATCACGTAATCGTGCTCTATGAGGTCGCTGAAAATGAAGCCGTAGAAGCCGTGTGTCCCGGCAGCGTAAAAGGCCTTGCCGTTGATGCGTGTCGCCGTGTTGATGATATTGAACGTGTCTGGGTCGAGGTCGGTCGCGATGACCACGTCGAACCCGGCGAAGTAGCTCGGGCCCTTTGCGGTGACGCTCTCTGGGTCAACGTGAACCTGCACGCGAGGGTTGAGCTTGCGCAGAGCAGCACTCGCGGCCTCGGCGCGGTTTTTGCCGATGGGGTCCTCGGTCTCTGAGAGAAAGAATTGCGCGCCGAGGTCCGACTCGGTGACGGTCGCGCCGTCGAGAATAGTGATTGAGCCGATACCGGCAAGGACGAGGTTCTTGGCGACCTCGTTGGCAAGGGCGCGCATGGTGATGAGGAGGATATTTGCGTTTTGTATCTTGGCCTGGGCGGCCATGCCCCAAAGGCGGATTTGGCGATCATACAGCGCGATTTCATCTGCCTCTGAAGTCAGCAAGTCTCCCGGCCAATTCAGAACATTGAGGAAGCGCGCGGTTCGTACCTGCCGAGACGGTGTTGTTGGGTGGAGGATGCATAGGCAGGGCCCCGTTGGCCGTCATGAGAGGCAGCATGAAATTGGGGTCGCCTAGAGGCATGCCCGCCATGGTCGAGTCCTGTAGGAAATTCTGGCCGCCCAACATAGCCGCCATCGGATCCGAGCTGAGGCCAGCATGGTCCATCAGGTCGGGAGTAAAAGAGGGCATGCCTCCTGCGCCGTTGGCGTCGGCGGTGCCCTGCGGGATGGGGGGCATCGAACCCGAGCCGTCGTCGGGGCCGGGGTGAGCAGGATCCATCGATGCTGCTCGAGAAGATGTTTGTCGCTGAAGATGTGGGCGTGCTCAGATCTGATGCAGCGGGATGAGCACGAGGCAGGGTGCGGCGCAAAGAAGGGGCGCGATGTGAGAAGGGATGCGGGAGCGTCGTTCACCCGCCCCGGCCGCCTTCTTATCGCCTTGTCAAAACTTCATGCAGAGTCGGCGGTCGCGCAGGTGTGCGGTGGTGGTAGGACAGCTGTCGCAGGAGTGGTTGGGCCGCAATTCAGATGTGCCGTGTTCAGTATGTTGATACGGGGGCGGCGCGCGGCAACTGCCTGATGAACAAGGATCTGTGAGGCTTTGCGATGAGACGCAACTGAGAGGTGGATGTGGTTTGCTGGAGGTGGCTCGACCCGCTGACGTAAGGGCACTAAATTACCACCTGCCGTGCGTGGCGCTGGGCAGGGCTGGGCTGGGGCACTCCACTGGCAGCTGCGGGCTCAGCGCGACATTGAACGATAAAGTGGTACCGCTACGGGCGGGCCTAGGGCGCCGTGACGGCGTGTAACTGCTAACTCTCAGCCACGCGCCGTCCTTGGTGCTCGATGCGCGTCGCGGCAGTTGGAGCTAAAGGATGATGACGACAAAGGTTGACACTTGGCACAAGAACCAGGGCAGGCCGACTGCTGTATGCCGGCTGTGAGATAATCGAGCATGATGCGACGCCTAGAAATGAACATATCCACGAATGCCGCCCATTCGTGTGCTTGTGCAACCTCCCATGGGAGCACCGCCCGCGCATGACGTGACGAGTGAGGCGCTGATGCAGGCAACGCCCCTGCAGCAGCGGCCGCTGCCGCCCTGACGCAGCTGCCCGTGCTCCCCCACAGTGGGTGACCCGCCGCGCCGACGCACCGGGCACGGCGACGGCGGCGGCGGCGGCCACAGGGGACGGGGCGGGTGGCAGAGGGCCAGCACGCGCTGGAGCTTCGGGTTTGGCTTGGAAGCGCCCTGCGAAAGCACGAACAGCACCGAGATCGATTCTGGTTCGTCTCACTTCGCAATGGAGTAGCGCTGCGCTGGCATGGCCGGCAATTGGGTAGGGACACGGTGCTGCGTCTCGCCCCCTCTTTGTACGGAAATCATTCATTCGCACGAGTTTATGCTCCTGCATGTCCAGCAGCAGCGTCACTGGCCCCCCGGGCGTGTCAGAAGCCGCCGTGCTTGCTGCGCGTCCGTTGGGGGTCGCTGGGGGCGTTTCGAAATGGCCGGCGAATCACGGCCCCTGGAGACACCCCGGTGCTGCGGTTTCAGCGGTCTTGCAACGCTGCCCTGCTTCCGGGGGGGCCGTGAGGCGAGCACCGGAGCAGGTACCTGGGCTCCTGCCTTACGGGGTGAGTTGCCAGGCGGCGGCATGCACAGGCCGCTCGCTCAGGCATTCGGTCGTTACGAGTGAGAGAAACCGCACTCCGTGTGAGGCAGGGCCCCCAAAGGTGCGTCCGACATGCCTGGAGACGGACCGCATGCGCCTTGGGCACCGCAACTCTCCAAGACAGGTCCTGTCGGGCGCTGCTCACCACGGGGTGCCTGGTGTTGCCTTGGCCAGCCAGCCACTCATCGCGGCGCTCCAGCGCATTTAGCAGCGCATCAAAGACATGCGGACTGGACCCCGCCCTGCGCATGACCGCGAGCTAGCCACTGGCCGGGAGCGTCGCAGGCAGGCGCAACCGTGGACGACGGATGGACGATGAATGCCTGCCTGGGTGTCTGGTGGCATCAATTAGTCGACGGAGGCAGCACTAAGCCCACCGCAGTGCCGGCAGCGAGCTGTTAGGTTGGTGCGAAGTCTGGGTACCGAGTAGGTAGTAAGACACTCACCAGACACGCCGGCGACGACCTGGCTCATGCCGCGGACGCCAAGTTCCGTCACTCCCTCGCCGTGCGCCGGCTTCCAAAGCTGCGCACTTTCCTCGTTCCTACAACCGCGCGCAACTGAGGTGAACCTTGTTCCGTGCCTCCTGCAGCGAAGCGCAGCGCAGCTCGAGCTGAAAAGCCGCCGACACAGCCCCTGGTAGGCGGTTAGTACGGAGTGAGCACCTGGCAGCATCCGAGGTCCGCCGAGTACAAGTACGAACAACGACGAGGTGCCAAAAGGCGGACCAGACCCCTCCCTCCCTCCTCGTCGTCAAGTCGTCGTCGAGTCCGGTCGTCACCCGTCACCCACTGGCGGCCGACTAAGCCCAAGCAGCAGCGGTTGCGTCAACGACCTCGACGACTCAACGGCCATGCAGCAGCACCTCTCCGTCCGCCAACGCCAGCATTAGCAGCAGCAGCCGCCCCGTCCCATCTTGTATTCACACGCTTCCCTGCCCGAGTACCATATTTAGCTCAGGCTGCCCATTGCGTCCGAGGACGGTAATCGCTCACCCGCCAAGGTAGGCAGCTCGCAACGCAAACCCCACCGGCCGACGACATCTCATTTGGCCGATGGCTCCGACAGTCCTCGACCGCCACCACCACCACCGCCGCAACCACCACCACGACGACAATTCGCAGGGCCTCAACAACCCGGCGCGCGCCCTCTGAGCGCTGATTCACCCGACGACCTACGACGACGGCCACGGCCACGGCCACGGCTCCGACCGTTGCAAGCGAGTCGGCCCGCCCCCGTCGTTTCCATCCGTGCAGTGGTTGGCTTGGCCTCGGCCTGCCCGCTCGCCTCTCATCGTCATCGCCACATTCACCGCCCCTCCCCCCATCGTCGCATCCATAACCCAGAGTGCGGCCCCGTGCCGTCGCACCTGCACGCACGCCAGTCCCGCCCTCGAAGCCATGGCCTCGAGGCCCGGGTCGAGCTCCGGCTCGGGCTCCAATCGCCAGCGCGCCCGAAACTCTCAAGAAGACTTCCCTCCGCTTCCCGCCCCCAGACTGCCTCCTCTCCGAAACCTGCACTCGCCCATCGGCTCCCCCGCCCCAGCCGCGACTCGTCCGCAGACTCGCTTCTGGTCCGCGGCCGCTCGCCGCGCCGAGCGCATCCGCAACCTCGACGACCTGCCCTCCGGCCTCGACGACCTCGACGACTCCATGGACCAGACATGGCTGGGCCCCATGCGCCGCAGCTCTCGCCTGCGCGCCGCCGACCACCGCCGCCCCAACTTTGACGAGCTCGACCAGACGCTCGACGAGGCCAACTCCCAGCTCAGGTCCCTGCTGGACATGACCAACCACATCAACCTCATGACGCCGCTCATGCGCGACAGCTTCTCGCCGACCCTGCGCCCGCACGACTTCGCCGACGACGCCCGTCGTAGCAAGCGCAGGAAAATCGACGCCGACAGGCTCGTCCCCAGCTTCAAGGGATTCCGCTACGGCAAGTACGGCCAGGTTGAGCCGGGGCAGCTGCACATGGAGATTGTGAGCTGCGATGGCGGCATGTTCTCCAACGAGTCGTCGTACGCCGCCGAGAACATTCTCAGAAACGACAACTCGGTGTATTGCACCAAGGGGAACCGCTGCAACATTGTGCTGCGGCACCAGGGAGCCACGGTTTTCACCCTTCGAGAGGTGGTCATCAAGGCCCCCGGCTCCATGAATTACTCTCACCCGTAGGTCCCTGTAGCGCGCCAGACTCACAGGCAGAAGACGCCACTAACACGGCATCCAGAGTGCGGGAAGGCATGGTTTTCGTCGCCATGAATCAGGACGACTTGCTGAGCCGGACAGCTCAGTATCAGATCCAGTATGCGCCAATGACGCGGGATCACCCGTGGTACGGGCACAACGACGACCGGCATCCTCTGGACCGAGACTCGCGGCGTATCGTGTCAATCAGGCATCACGACGATGGTACCACGAGCACGCGGGCGCGGAGGTCCTACATCTATCGTGGCGACGACGACGAGGCCGAAAACCGCACGCCTCAGATGCCTGAGGAGTTCACGCAGAACCAACCAGACTTCCGTGTGACGACCGAGTGCAGCGACGACGAGGAGGACTATGAGACATCACAAATGTACCGGCGTGCTCCCAACCGCATTGGGTCACTACCCTTCGAAACGCCAGACTCCGACTCTGAGGACCCCAACAACCCATTTGGGTCTGACGACTTCTTCGACGACTCGCAACCGCCGCACCACCCCCAGCGCCGCTCTACGCGCCATATCGGCGGTGGCGGCCACCGGGACCGGCTGATGGACATGTCCTTGGCCGAGGCCTGGGACGCCCACGCCAATGCGACGCAGGAGGCCGTCCGCGCCGTCGGCGGCGAGCTGCTCGCCCCGCACGCGCGCTTCTACATCGAGAAGAAGAAGAGCAAGTGCACCATTCGCTTCGATCCTCCCGTGTCGGGCCGCTTCATCCTCCTCAAAATGTGGAGCTCGCAGCACGACTCGTCGGGCAACATCGACATCCAGTCCGTCATCGCCCGCGGGTTCGCCGGCCCGCGCTACTTTCCCTCGGTCGAGCTCAGCTGATGCTCCTCTCGTTCTGCCACGCGGGGAGGGGCGCTGGGCTCCCCCATTGCCCTGCAGGAGTTTTGATAATTGGCGTTCTGGATGACATGGCATTTGGGAAGAACGGACCGGCGTAACGTGGCATAGATGATGACGCATGTGGCAATGACAACGGCAATGGCAAATGGCAAATGGATTTGGGCAATCCGGCCGGCCGGGCCGCTTTGGTTCGTGGCTACTTGGCGTCGACCTCGCTCGCTCACTTCAATAGATGCATGGTGCGACGAACCTCATAGCCCGTAACCTGCTTGGCCGCCTTGTAGTTGCATCCCGTGAGGCTGCTTTCGCATTCCGGTAGTGTAGTCCTAGCCGATGTCTCTGCCTTTACCCGCATGGCATTTGCACCCCACCGCAACCCGCTCCATCGTCACCGTCCATGCGACTAGCCATGCTCGCGCAGTTGCACATGTCGGTGCTGCGTCAATAGCGGCATCAGAGTTGTACGACACATCCGCCTCTAGCAGCACCGTTGATCTGGCAGCACCGGAGTAGCCGCGTGTAGAACCTAGCCGCCCGGTTAATAGATATGTAGGGCGAGATTTGCAACCGACCTCATCTCAATGCACGCGACCATTTTTACTTCGGGGCCAACCTGCTTGTGGGCCACACTGCAAATGCACGGAAACATACTATGTATGGCGAAGATTGCACTACAAGAAAAAGCCAGAATGGCAAGGAGAACCGTCGGCAAAGTCCGGGATGTTGAATCAATTCCATATAGACGATTCCATGGATGACTGCAATACTAAGGCTGCCGAATAGCATATACTCGACGAGAGAGGATCACTCCGTTGCCTAACGCTTTGCGCGACATCCAGCCCCCCGTCGACGACCATCGCAGCCAAAACCAAATGCTTTGAACGCCCATAGCCAGACCCGGCTGTCCTTGGGTTCATCGGCGCTGACCACCGGGGGGGAATGCGCATACGGCGAACGCTGCCGTGGTCCAAAATCCCATGCCCCTGGGGTTTGTTAGCCAGTGTCCTCACAAAGACCGCCACCCGAAGGCGAGGGGTTGCTTGAGAAACACAATGCACATACACGCATAGACTGGATACCACACAGAAGGCAAGTTCCAACTTTGGCGAGGAGAACAGCCACGCGGTTTGAAGCTCCACGAGCTGCTGCTGCAGCATCGCCACGGCAACGACCGTCGCGACGAGGCAGACGAGATTGCCGCGCAAGAAGTACATGCATAGCGCGTCCGGGTGCCTTTTCTTGCTGAAAAGGCCCATGGCCGCCATGGCCGCCGGCACGAGGACGCCAACCATGGATACACTGAGAATGAAAGTGTATCGCACATGTGCGAGGACCATCTGGAGTGCCTCCATGGGCGCGGCGTTGACTTGTGCGACCCAGAATAAGACGACGATGATGCAAAATGCCACATGGTAGAGGCAGCAGATGGCTAAGAGTAAACATAGCATGCTTATGAGCACCCCGGCAGCTGACATCGAGAGGTAAAGCCTCCTGGTCCTGGAACGTTTGCCGCGGACGGGCCGTGGCGAGGAGACTCGCACCGAAGGCTGCTGCTCCCTGTCGGAGAGCATGATGGCGAGATTGTTCAGAGATTGCGTCTTGCTATGAAGTCACGAGGGGCCGTTGGATGAGGAGCAAAGAGAGACAAAGAGAGACAGCCAAAGGGGGACTTCTGTTCGCCATTGTACCGCTGGGAGGGTTTCCCTCCTTGCCGGGCTGCAGAGGAAGTTGTGGTCATGTTGATGGATGCTCGGGATGGCAGGAGCGTTGCCACGAAGAGGCACTGAGCTTTCCCCGTGGTAGAAGGTCAACGGGATAGACGGTGCTGTTGTGGCTGGAAACCGCCGTGGCCGTTCGTCTCCGGGACATAGGGCAGCTTGGAGATCGAGGCCCAGCGAGATGGTGCCCAGGGGGGTTGGAGAATTCCCCGAGCTAGGTACTTGTCAGCAAGCGAGTCATGAAAAAAAGGCCCAGCGTTCGTCTGGAAAGCCTTGAGCGATGACGGCATCGCTCTTGCGATTGCCGGACACTCGCATGAATGTAAAGGCCGCAGAAAGGTGCAGTGTGTAAGGCGACACAGATGACTGCCTTACTTACATTCACAGATGGACAGAGAGGCTTCACGCCCCGTTTCGACCTGCGCCCCAACAAACAGTCAAGAGTGCTCGTCGGTTTCCACGGCAGCGGGCAGACGGTCGACTCCCCTGTATCCGTGGAGAGCAAGCTTTCGAGGTGCTTGCCTTGGCGAGACTCTTGCTTCGTGCTTGCAGACGGGGCTCCGCTGCAGCGCGTCGAGATGGCGAGCTGCGGAGCGTCACTGTGCGGGCTGTAATATTGGATGGGACCCCCACCACCTCACCTGGGCGGGTATTGCCGCCGACTGCGTTTTCATGCGGGCGGGCGTTGACAGGTGCCACTGCTGGGGCTCATGCTGGCCGGGGGGGTCTCGTCGTTTGCACGGGCAGCGCGGGTGGGGGGCCTTCAGGCTGCCTCCAGCTCTCGGGCCCTGAAGGGTTCCGCTGAGGCGCCACTCGAGTGTGCCCTGAGCAGCCCCGCCTGAAGGTGTCGTCAGCAGAGTTGGCTGCAGGGCAGGTGGTGACAGCGGCCACTGGTACAGCAGCTCAAGCCACCACCGCCGCAACCAGCAGCCACCATGGCCCGCCTCAACAGGCCGCGCCGCCTCGGACTCACCTGCTCCAGCAGTGGGCGAGCATTGATGGCCAGCGCAGCCACCTGACCCAATGGCGGGCGCCCTCCACATGCAATTGCCCACCCCCAGGTCCCCCCCCAAACCAAGGCCAGCAACCAAGCTTCTCCGTTGTGGATGGACGGGCAGGCCGCGTCGCATGAGCCTGCATTGCATTGCAGCTCCAAGCTCGTCGCCACAGGCCAGGACGCGGCCAATAGCTGCCACCGCACCGTACCCAGCCGTGGCAGCTTTGTTTTGGCTATCCATCGGGCGCAAATGCTGTACCTCGCTAGTGGTTGCTAGTGGATAATATAAGACGACGACGTGGAAGGAAGGAAGGGTTCGATGTGGCCCGTTGATGCCTCTTGCCCTCTTCTTGCTGCTCCCTCATGTCCCTCATGCCCCTCTTGTCTCTTCCACTCTGTGTGTGCCTCTCCTCTTCGCTCTCCCATGCACCATCTCGATTGTCTGAGCCAGGCTCCAGCAAAAGCCGATAGACTTGTCGCGGGTAGCAGACGTTAGTCCTGCTAGTTGCCACGCCTAGTCGAGACACGGACAACGCTCGCGCCCGCGCCCGACCCGCTTCCGTCGACAGCTGCCCCCCGGTGGCGCATTCCCCGGAGCCATCCTTTGCGACCTCAACGCCGCCCGACCGGATGCGTTGCCTTGCTTGAGAAGGCCGGTACCTTGTGCGCCGCTCCGCAACCGGGGACGCGACGCGGAGCACTGCCCATCGATTTGGGGCGTCCGCTACCAATATCTCGCGCCGCTCAACTTTGTCCATCACCGGACGTGTCTCAGTCTCGCGGCCCAAAGTACCTGGGCTTGATTCGCACTCACACGCGTGTCATCCGGTGGAGATCTCACCCTCCATCGCGGCTGCCTCCCCTGCCTGCTTGCCCCCCCCGTTCAGGGTGCTCTATCGATTTCGTCCCGTCTCCGACCACAAGTCTTGGGGGAAAACTCCCATCCCTTTTGCATACCAAGCAAACCCGAGCATACCATCGCCATCCCACCTTTTTTGCATCTCTTCGCAGATCGACATCTGTTGGTGCTGGCACGTTTCAGCCGAGGCCATCCAAGTCGGCACTACGCGAGTGAACGACCAGGCACCTTGGCGAATCGCGGGGTCCAGGGGTAGCCAGCATTAATCTGCGACACATTAATCGTCCCACCACGCGGCCCAGCAAAGACCTGGCTTGCCAGTCTCCGGCCCGGACACGCCATGCAGGGCTCGTCTTCCCTGCCAGATGGGCAATGGGTCCGCTCTCAGGGGCACGACGATCAGCCCGCTGATAACAGCAGTCTGCCACCGAGTCCGCCTCGGTCGAGGATCCCGAGGAAATTAGAGCTACATGTCCAAGCGCCAGCTGCCTCGTCCTCAAAACCAAACTCTCCAACGACGCCGACGTCGCGACGCCAGAGCTCCATCGCCATCTCCAAGGAGCCGGGATCTCCGCTGCGACAGTCCCTCTCGACGACACAGCTCGACGACCCCGAGGAGCCAACAACGGACCCCCAGCGAGGCACGCAAAAGATGCCGCTGACGGGGGACGGCAAGACCCCGGCCTCGCCGGACGTAAACCAGCACGGACACGATGGTGCCTTCTCGTCACGACTCAACCGACTTGTTGGAGCGCGATCTTGGCCCGATACTGCGCACGCATATGCCAGACCAACCAGCTCGCCAGCTCCCAACACCGGACCTGCATCGGTTGCACGGTCCGCCTCGCCCGCGATAGCCCCGCGATTCGCCCTCTTCTCGTCTTTGCCGTCGCTAAAAGGCCCTGCCCCATCCAAGGTCGCCGTGCCGCAAGACGACGAGTTCATCAACCTCGACATTCAGGCATCACTGTTCCCAGCCGGAGCACCTGCCGAGGGTGATGTCTTCTCGCCCGCAGCCTTTAAGAACCTACACCTCAACGCAGTCGGGGTGCTGCGAAAATTCCAGGCCGCCTATCAAGACCGGACAATGGCTCTGCTCGAGCTCAGGGCGGAGCGGGAGGCACAGAACGACGAGAAAATTGGGCTAGAAACTCGATCACACCACCTCAAAATGCAGCTAGAAGGTATGGCACAAAGAGCTACTGAGATCGAGTCCACCATGCGCGCCCTCAGGGAGGAGCTCGACACCGAGAGGCGGCTCAGGATGGAAGAACGCCATGCCAAGTACGCCACGCCTTCTAGCCTCTCCGTCTCCGAGGATCTGGGCGTCGAAGAGGACCAGATGGACGAGAGGAGAAGAAGCGTCGCGACATCCAAGACGGACTTGGGCTCTGAGACCGATACAGAGAGCATCGCAGGAGCTAGCCTCTTCTCTCGATCTCGCAGCCCCACCGTTAGGTCGAGCATCACGGACGCCACATCAACGGACAGTATGCCACCACCACCTCTGCCTCCAAAACCGAAACGGAATTCCCTCGAACCTCCGCCGCCGGCAAGCAAGGCACAGCCGCAGCCACAACTGTCTGCGTTTCAACGGCTTTTCAGAGGTAGCCCCCAAGTGGAAGCACCTAAAATTGAGGAGACGCAGGCCGTGTACAGCTGCCGCAACTGCGAAGGTCAGGACGCCAGCGCTGCCTGGAACACGGTGAGCCTCCTGAGAGATGAGAACAAGGGCCTCAAGAGGAGGGTGGGGGAGCTCGAGTCGGCAGTAGAGGAGGTTCTTGATGCCGTCAACGGTGTTAGCATGTCCCCCTTGGCTGTATAGGGCCCAGGTCTGGAACCTGGCCGCTGTTGATTCAGAGTTGCATACTTCGTACTTTGTAGTAGCATTGGCGTTTAAGGTGGGGTCTCTCGCTCGAGTCGATGAGATGGCGCTGGGCGACGGAGCTACTGAGTAGACACGATATACCCAATGCAAAATTTCGACTTTTACTTGCGATACATCTAGTGGGTGCGCTTGGATGTACTGGATGCCATAGTACGTCCTTGAATCTTGAGTCCTGACTCCTCAGTCCCACTGCATGCACCAAGCAGGCGCCCAAAAGTGCGGTGATCTTGAGGAACGCGAAATTGGCACGACACTTGCAATGGCCGTGTGCTTGCTCTGATGCCATGCCGAACAGTCACGGTACTGCAGCGGGTTCCTTTGTTCAATCGAGGTTTTGTTGTCCGCGTCTAACCCGGGGTTTGAAATGGTCGACTACCCGTGTCCATCCGTTGCTCGCGCTCATCGCATGATATATGTACACTCCGGCGCCGCGGCGTCAGCCCCTCCACACAATCCAATCACCCACTCAGTGGTGCTCCTCTCCGTGGTGGTGTGAGTCCTCCATGAAGAATTGCTCGTACAGGCAGTATCCGGCGAAGGCGACCGTGGCTGTCCCCAGGCCGGGCAGCGTGCCCCTGAACCTGTTCCAGCGGGAGAAGGGGCCCGTGAACCTCCAGGCGTCACTGCGGCGAGGCAACTTGTTAGCTTGCGGTTCGTGGTCTCGAAGTTCGCGCGTCCTCGGCGCCGGGGGTGTTCGGTTGGGCGGGCGGCTTGGGGATTCGCGGGGAATTATTCGAGGGGGGTTAGGACTAACGCTCGCTCCCAGGGGTCGTATCGGGGCTGGCCGGCGGCCTCCTTGAACGCTCGCATGTTGAAGCCGGTGATGTTGGCCTTGGGCCCGCGGGCCGCTCGCAGTACTCTGTCGTGTCGCATCATCCGTTAGCACTCGTTCAATGGGACTTGCCGTGCCTTGGCGCGTGGCCCAGGCCACAGCAACGGTGACGGCAGCGGAACAACGTCAGGCAGCCGGCGGGCAATGCATCGTCCGTACCTTGTGGGAAGCATGGCGGCCAATTGAGCGGACTGGACGCAATCGGGAGGGTCGGTGTCGTGCGTTGGAATTGCAGCGATGGTGATTCGAGGATGCGCAGAAGGCACTTGGCGTCGGCCGGAACAAAGTAGGCCAGCGCCGGCGACGGGGGACGAGGCGCACGGACCACCTGCGCTGCCGGCGCCCAGCCAGAGTGACAAAAACAAGCACGCATGGCCCTTGCAAACTCGCCGCGAGACTTACTCGTCCTGGGCAGCCACGTTTCTGTCAGCCCCCGCTGGCCACTCGTCTCTCCCGTCCCTGCGCAATCCCAGCCATCCATCGCTTCCACACATCGGGATCCAGCAAGCTTCTCGCGCCCAGCCCTTCAACCCCGTTCTCCAGCAACTCCGTACCGGCCGCGGGACCACCAGACCGCCGACGTCACGACTGCGAGCCTTCTCCACGCAACGCAAGGAACCGTTTTACCCTCGACACGGCTCCGGAACAGCGTCTCCGCGATTGACCGATACTCCAGCGTGCTCACCTGTCGACGGGCCGCACCACCGTCGTCATCGGAGCCTCCGACCCTTGCCAAGAACGCTGCGGCTTGATAACGCCGCCCTGCGAGCTGCGAACCGGCGACGATCGACTCGACCCGACTTGCCCTTCCGCTGTCCTTCCCTGGCATCTCAATGAACTACCGGCGAGGCCGTTATAGTAGACGCGGCTCCCCGACGCGTTAGAGACAGCGACACACCGGTTCTCCTCGACAGCCACTGCCCACCGCCGCGCCCCCGGACTCGACACTCCCCACGAACCCTGGTGGCAGCTTCAGCCTAAACGACACTCATCGCGACTCTCGGCGCTTGCCACCGCCGCCGCCTGCTGAACCCCAGCCTCAAGAACCCTTTCCCTGTCCGATGCCGCCACAGATACGCGGCTTCGGCGCTGGGCCCGGCGTCGGCGCCCCCTTCCACCAGCCTGGCTTCCCGTCCCACGGTCAGCCGCAGGGCGGGCCGCTGGGCGGGAACCAATATCTCGGCGCGTCTGCCCAGATGAACCCTTTTGCCGCCGCCAACGGCAACTCGTTTGGCGCTGCGGGGCTCAACGGAGGCGCCGCGGGCTTCGCCGACTCGGCGTTTGGCAGCCAAAATGCGAGGATGGGATTCGCGCACGGCTCCGGGGCCACTGGCGGGCTGCAACAGCCCCAGCATGGAGGCCAGGTCCAGCACAACGTCCTGATGGAGCACCCGACCATGAGGACGCAGCCGAACAAGGGGAGAATACGAGAAGTCTGGAAACATAACCTGCACGAGGAGATGGCCGTACTACGAGACATGGTGGAAAAATACCCGTATATTGCTATGGTGAGTCCGCTCAGAGAATTCTGAGAGCACGTGCACCTGGCCGGAATATTGACAACCTGCGCCCTAGGACACTGAATTCCCGGGCGTAGTATCAAGACCGATGGGCTCGTTTCGAGGGAAAAGCGATTACCACTACCAATGCCTGCGCACCAACGTCGACATGCTCAAGGTGATCCAGATCGGCATCACCTTGTTCAACGAAGAGGGCGAAACCCCGCCGGCTCGGCCACCCTCGAACGACTTGGCAGGCATGGCTGGAAGACGAACTGCGAACCAGGGACCGTTCCCATACTCATGGCAGTTCAACTTCAAGTTCTCTCTGAAGGACGACATGTACAACGAGAAATCCATCGAGTCTCTCCAGCAAGCCGGCATCGACTTCAACCTGCTCGAGCGAGATGGAATCGACCCGCACGAGTTTGCCGCGCTCCTGATCCCGTCGGGCCTGGTCTGCTTTGACAACATCAAGTGGATCTCATTCCACGGCGGTTACGACTTCGGCTATCTCACCAAGCTTCTCATCTGCACGCCGTTGCCCAACGACGAGGTGGACTTTGACCACAAGATGAAGCTCTACTTCCCGATGACGTACGATGTCAAGCACCTCATGAAGCACGCCATCAGACTGCACAACTCTGGGCTGCTCACGCCGAGCGATCCCAGTAGCACCGAGATCCTGCAAAAGTTCGAGCACAAGTCGGGTCTGGAGAACATTGCCGAGACGCTCAAGGTCAAGCGCATTGGGGCCGCTCACCAGGCCGGCTCCGACTCGCTCCTGACAGGCAAGGTGTTTTTCCAGATGCGCGACAAGATCTTCAACGGCGACATCCCCGACGAGCACGTCGGCAAGGTTTGGGGCCTGGGTATCCCGGATGTCGGCCTCCTGACCTCGTCCATGATGAACGCGAGCCATGCTGGCGGCGGCGACCAGCAACAGACCAACGGTGGCGCGCCTAGTACGCCCAATACCGGCACCGTCGGCCTTGTTACCACGCCTGCCGCGCAGAGCCACAACACCAACGGCCTCTCCAACATGGGCCCGATGACTCCCGGAGGCGGAGGCGGAGTCTTTGGCAACTTTGCTTTTGCAGGAAACAACCGGTAAAGGGGGGCCAAAAAGCAGTGCCATGACCTACGCCTTACTCGCCACGAATACGATCCCGCCTCGTCATCCGCCATCCCATTCCTCCATCCGTCAATATCCTCTATCCACTTGGTGCTTGCGAAACTGCTTGCGGAACGGGATCGATGCTACGCGCTGCTGGGAGTCTTTTGTGTTTTTGCCTTTGCGTTCACTGGGGGCAACTCGGGAGCACACGTATCAAACTGGTCGTACTTGGGGCCGGGGAGCTTTGTTGTTGTTGTTTTTTGACTGCGGGACGAAGCGATTTTGGGGGCTGGGCTCTGCTTTTGATGGTGCCTCGTCCTCCGGCGGGCTTTGCTCTTCGTTCTGTCTGTCGTGGAGGGCAGGGGAGTCAGCGCATTGAGATTCGACCGGCAGGAGCGGGCGCATGGAGGCATCTGAACGGACGGAAGGCAGCGGTTCGGGCTCTGGCGAAAGGACACAGGGAAAGAAAGGAGGGCGGCGAGATGGGCGGGCTCGCGATGAAGTGGCTGGTTGTCCTTTGTGTTTTTGTGCACCGCCGGTGTTAGTCTCAGTCGTATTGTTATGGCCGCTGCTCTGTGCTGCCTTGTAGCGGGGTGCTGTGTCGAGCGTCACGTCGACCGGATCCCAATGTATTTGTATTACTACTACCTGACCTATTTCATGTTGACTTGGGTGTCTGGTGAGGCTGTGTGCTTGCTTGCGGACGCTGTAGAATGGACCAACCTGGCGGCGGACGACTTGGATTATGTGTCTGTTGATTGATACCATGTATGTGTCTGTTGACTGATACCAGGTATGTGTCTGGGAAGGGTCGGGCGCAGCGATGATCATCATTATGGTTTAGGTGGTGGATGTAAAGCGAATGGATTCGTCTATACACGTACATATCCAGATGGAATGCAGCTACAGCTGTAGTACCAGCCGCCAGTCCCTGCCCTTCAGTGTGGTACTCGAAACAAAACCCAGCGCTGCACGCAGAAAGACAGGGAAAGAAAAATGCTGTCCCTTACTCTTGGCAAAACTCCATAGTCCCAGTCATGAGCGTTCGTCATCATATGATGTCCCCTTCTCAGCAAGCACGCGTGGAATCTCGCACGTCGCTGACCCGGCTGTAGGGTCCACGGGGTTCCTCCCGACCCCGCCACTATGTTATGTACACCTTCTTGAGCACGTCGGTGGAGTAAACCTCACCAGTGCGGGGGTCCTTGACCTCGTTCTCCGACAGGCCGGCTTTCTTGGCGTGGTCCTCGAGGCGCTGGCGGCCGTAGACCTTGCCGTTGGGCAGGAGCAGGAGGTCGTACTCGACGTGGCTCTTGGTGTGGTGCGCGTAGGGCACGTTGCGCGCCAGCTCGTTGAGCTCGGTGGAGCAGATGGGGCAGACGCCGTGGCCGAGCATGGAGGCGCCCTCGCCGCCGCCCTGGTGCGCGGCCGACGAGTGGCAGGCGGGCGTCTTGAGCGCGGAGAGGCCCGACGACAGGGCGATGTGGAGGAGGGGCACGGCGGGGAGCGAGAGGAGGTTGCTGTGGGCTTGGGTGAAGAGGTCGGCGAGGTCGGCCCACCGGGAGGCGTCGTAGGAGTCGGCGTAGGCCGAGGACGCGGATGAGGGCGGGAAGGCGAGCAGGCCGCAGGCGCGCTTGACGTCCTTGGGGTATATGGATGAGTATGGGATGAGGTACTTTTTGGCGTGCGCTATGGCCTCCATCAGCTTGGGCTGCGACTCGGTGCGGAGGAGTTCGATGTACTGCTGCAGCCGCAGCATGAATTCGAGTTTGCTCTATAGGTATTGTTTAGCCATGAAGCCAGCGACGAGATGTACTGCGACGTTGTTCTCACCTCCATCTTGCGCAACTCTTTCTTGTTCTCGGTGCACCAGGCCAGCGCCTCGGCGACGCTCCCATTCAGCAGTGACTCTCTGATATGGCTCATGCCGACAAAGGTGTCCACGTCGACGAGGTTGCTGAGGCCCTTCTCGGCGGCGAGGTCGGCGGCCGTCTGGTTGAAGCCGTGGCGCAGGAGGTAGTCGGCGAGCAGGCGGTCGAGGCGCTTGCGGCTCCAGGCCTCGTACTTGACGTCCTCGACGGCGTCGATGGAGTAGAGCTCGTCGAGGTGGGTGATGCGGGCGGCCGTCTGGAGGTGCAGGCGCGACTCCTCCTCGGCGTAGGCGGTGAGCTTGCGCTTGACGCCGCGCATGCGCGTGAGCATGGCGTCGAGGTTCTTGAGCACATCCTGCTGCGAGGCGCGGCCCGAGACGGCGGCCGTTGCCGACTCCTTGAGCAGCGACTTGAGGGCCGTTGTGTCCTTCTCGATGGTGAAGTGCGCGGATCGGAAGTTCTTTCGGAGGAGCTCGTTGGGGAGGCGGAGCAGCGGCTGGTCCTGTTTGAAGAGAGAAAGAGAAAAGTCGCGTCAGTGATGGCTTCGTCGTCGACGGGCGGGCATGGCCCCGGGGCGATGCGGATGCCGATTCGGCTGCTCAAGGCCCAACAACCGAGGAACGTGACTTACCAGCAGCAGGTGCTCGCTGTGCCGAATCTTGGACAGCTCGTGGTCGGCCATGGTGGACTAGGATCGGCCGGCTACGAGGCTAGGGGGAAGTTTTCGGTGCGGACCATTCAGGGAGAGGGTTTGGGTGGTGGTTGGGAGAGTCAAGTTGCCGTCGAGGTGACGATGACGCTCGGCGATTGACGTCGGTCGTCGATGCGAGCTCGCAGTTGGAGCTGCATGCTGTAGCGGCGGTCGGCTCATCACTTGGGCGCTAAGCATTCCACTAACGTAGGGCCAAACTCCCCCGCATCCGAGCCGCGGCCGATTACCTAAGGTCCCTGAGCTGGTCCCTGAACCGAACTTACGGAGTACATCCCGAGCCCAGACAAGAACACCAAGCTGCAGTTATTCTGTGACCGTGATGCAATGTGTGAAGGGCATTGTACTCTTGTACCGATGATTGTGCATTGGATTAAATCTGCAGTAGAGACCAGCATGCGATGGGAGGCCATCGACGCAGACGCCCCCGCTGGGAACCTTACGGGAATGGGGTCAAATCGCCGGATCGGTCCAGTTGAGGAACGGCTGTCGAGCCCGCCGCCCATCACTGCACACTGTGTTTCCTTCGAAAAGCTGACTTTGCACGTGTATGCCATGCCTAGAGATTCACGTACGGCGCGAGGGCAGCCGTGTCATCTGCAGCGGATGCTACCGAACGGGTTGTCGTAGGGTGTCACTGCGCTGCAAGGCTACGAGAAGCGACCCGGATGGCACCGGCGTACGACAGGTTATGGCAGCTGACGCGCAACACCGAGGCTGGGTGGCTAGCTGGCAGGCTCACGATTTGAGTGTGGCGCGTGCCGACGGGCCGCCTTGTTTCCACGTAATCTGCATCCTGTTCGCCTTGTGCCTCGTCCAGTGTCGATATGCCTCACGGCTCGATGAGGACTTGAACGAGAAGCGGGCGGACAGGGCATTCTCTGACGAGGCAGACATACTGTACCCTATCGTCGAATCAGAACGGAATGGCACAGCGCACGCCGCGGCAGGCCGTCGCGACTAAGGCATCGGTGAAGACCTAGCCCACCACTCCCTACCAAGCGGCGCTTCTTCCCCAGCCGAGCCGTTGGTTCAGCACGAGGCGCCTCTCGGCTGTGCCTCGACACATCCGCGATGAATATATATAGGTACGGAGCGGGAAAACTGGGTTAGCAGGTCCTAAATACGACCACGCGTGCCTCTAGCAGTTTGCATGTTTCACCTGGCGCAGAGAGAGGCTCGTCAAGTGATTGCGCGATGGACACCCCTAAACACCATCAGGTGACGGGCCGGGGGGTTCCAGACATGAGGCTTCCACGGCTCAAGAGGTCCCGAGGAGAGACACGGCCCCACCCAGTTGCTGCTTGGATGGTCTGCGTGCTCGTCTGGCCTCGACAAGAGGCTGCCTCCTCCTGACGGACCGTCGAAATGTTTCTTGGCGGGGGGACGAGGGGACCTGGAGGCGAAGCAGCAGGCCGGCGGGCAGCGCGGTAGTTGCTGATACTGCGGGCTGGGCCGTTGCTTCGAAGAAAGTGGCTAGCCCCGGGGAGGACAACCCTGCTGGACGGCGAGATGGTGGTGTGTGAGGGGCGACTCGAGGGAAGCGCGAGTGAGAGTGTTCGAAGACCACTCGGGATGGTACAAAGGGCTCGAGGTCGAGCATTCATCAGCTGGTGTGCTTGTTCGCCGGAACCGCCAAAGGAGTGTCGACGGCAAAGTTGGACCAAGGTGCTTGTCTTCGAGGGAAATGAGTGCCGGCAAAGGGGCGGCACTTGGCCATTTCACGATGGGTCTAACAAGGGGGGCCATCCAACGAGGGTGAGAAGCTGGACGGCAGGCTGGCTGTGTCACGACGGCGCGGCCAAACCACGGAGCTATCAGGGTGCCTTGCTTGCCTGGCTGATAAGAGTGGAAGAGTCTCAATATGAGGAGGATATTGGCAGTGCAGTGATGAACGACGCTCAGCGCAGCTGGGAGCTGGGGGCCACTGGATGCATATCGCGAGCAAACACTCTGCAGCCTGCTGAAAGTGCAGGACCACCAGCACGCAGCTCAACGCGACAGCCAGCCAGCCATCAATCACCAGACAAAGCGTAAGTGAGAGGGAGACAGCGCCAGAGTGAGAAGGGGGCAGCTGCGACGGAGCTGCTTGCGACCCACCAGGCAGCCGCGCGTTCCCATTGGCCCTACCCCGGTCGGTGTGCCGAATCTGCAGCCGTGATTGGCCTCGAGGGACTGCCTGGGGGGACTGAGGCGACGGCTGGCGGCCTCAGGCAAGAACGGGCCGCACGGCTGGCGTGCCCATGGCCCGCCCCCCACCCGCTATTTATCACGCAGCGTCCGCCCGCTTGCACGTGTTCCACCTCTTCCTCCACCCCGTGACCTGCGAGCTTGCCGCTGCCCACCCATCCGCCCCCCCCCCAGCGCCTCTACCGTCCATCAGCTCGGCGCGCACGCGTGCAGCGAGACGACAAGCATCCTTCGCCTCAACCAAATCACCCCGTAGCATAAAGATTCGGCCCAAACCCGGTCTCTGCAACCGCCGTCGTCGTCTCTGTCGGCTCGTTTCCCCCCTGGGACATTTACCAGCAAATTTTCGCCCACCTTTTGGCCTGCCCGGCGCGTCGCTGCCACGGCCGCTGCACTGCGGGTCCTGCAACTTACACTCCGGCGCGATATCACGAGATTGATCACGCAAAACACGTGAGAGCGCGGAACCCGTGATCTGGCGAGCACATGATCTGCGAGGTATGTCTGTCGACGCATCTCCTATGTACGACTCACGATGATTTCCCGATGGCTCGGCCACCACTTTCGATGGAAATGCCGCTGCCTTTGCCCCGTCAGAGCACGTTGTCTGCGCCCGAGAAAAAAATGTGCCTGTTGTCGCGCAATCTTCCCCAAAGACGCAATCATCAATGCACAACGCGCGCCATCTGAATCATCGCGTTCACGGCCCGCTCATGATGCCTAATGATGCCGGCCTTGCCGTCGCGTCATTCATTCATGCCGGCTTGATGCATCGACTGCCCTCGCGCGCCTGATTGATTCTCCCTCCCCTCGCCACGCGTCCTGAAGGTAGCCATGACCGCAGACCGAATCTCACGCGTCTGGGCTAGGCTCGCTTGCCCGCCCTCCTCAAGTGGGAAGGGGCGCGCGATAGCTGGCGATGCCTGCCGGATGTTCTTCACCCGTTGCCTTTCGCTGCCGGCATTCGAACTGCTGATCAAGTCGATCGCTGCTGAGTGCCCTGGCCCCCTCCGCATGAGCGAGTGCTGCTGTGCCGCTGGTCAACCTAGACGAGGCAGCCACGCGCCAGGCGAAGTCGAGGAAGCCCTCCATGGTCTCCTTGGGCGTCTGCCATGGCTGTGGCATTGATGACGGCCCTTGATTCGACTCTGGAAATGACCGCATCCTTGGTAGAACTGCCAACTGACTAACCCAACTACTTCTCCAGGTTTGACAACTTCAACCGCGTGGGATCCGTTTGTTGGTGCTTGCCGAAGCATTGTCAACCTGCGACTTGGCACCTAAACCTTGCATCGCTGCCGCTGTTTTCTCATCGCACCATCCACAATGTCTGACCCGGTAGTTGCCGATCAACCCGACCTGTCGAGCCTTACTGGCTCTCCTGGACAGAAGCGTAAGAGGGAAGAGGAGAGCCCCGACGCGCAACGGGCGAAGCGAGCTGCACCCCCGGCATCCATGTCAGCGGACACGGCTGCTTTTATCGAGAATGCCATCGAGGCCACCCACGCCGCGAGCACAAGCGGCGTCAACGTCGCCGACTTCAACGCCCTCCAGCAGGCCGCCGCGGCGGACCATACGGAGACGTCAGATCCGTCCAACGCGACAAGCACGGCTCAGGCTGCTCTCGGCATGTACCCCACCTTGCACGTACCACCGTCAACAGAGGAGCAGTTTGCCGCGCAGGCTGGTCCCGAGGGGGACCATGGCCATGACAGCTCGTTCAACCCGGACGTTTCCCCGCCGGACGGCCTCCTGGACAACTCCAACGTGGCACCGAACCAGCAGCCACCTCCCCCTTCGAACGGCGTCCAACCCCAAGGACATAGGTACTCCACGTCGTCTGCATCGGGGAACCCCAAGCCCAGCGTTGGCTCAGAGGAGTGGCATAAGATGCGGAAAGACAATCACAAGGAAGGTGAGAAGCGCAGCCAGACCCACCAGACGCCCAGCCGTGTGTGGGAGATTACTGACCCCGATGTGCGCCCAGTGGAGCGTCGACGCCGCGAGACGATCAACGAAGGCATCAACGAACTGGCCAAGATTGTGCCGGGGTGCGAGAAGAACAAGGGGTCGATCTTGCAGAGAGCCGTGAGCTTCATCCAGCAGCTCAAGGAGAACGAGCAACAGAACATTGAGAAATGGACCCTGGAGAAGCTCCTGACGGAGCAGGCCATCACGGAGCTCAGCGCGTCAAACGACAAACTCAAGCAGGAGTGCGAAAGGCTGTACCGGGAGCTTGAGACGTGGAAGAGAGTTGCGCAGAACGCGGGCCTCGAGCCGCCGCAACCAAAGGAAGAACCAGCCGCGGGCGCAGCGTCAGGCTAGGAGCACGCGCCCGACCAAGAACTTGAGCTTTCTAGGGGTTTGCCTGAGGGAGAGCCGGTTGCGAGCCCCACGTTGACTAAGGAGCAATATCTCAACCGAATGATCAAGCTTCTCAAGCACGTCTGAGAGGCTACACGTCATGGCGTTGACAGCTGGGTGGTGAGAAACCGCCCGCTCCGACCGGCACGTCGTAATGAATGGTGAGAGGGACCGGTCCTTTCGCATCTCGATACATGGAAAGGGGGTGTTGTTTTGGTGGTGGCGACGTCGCACAGGCGTGACTCTTCTTCCACGGACACGAACGAGGCGCGACACGATGTCCAAAGCACGTGCAGTGCTGGTTGGGCCAAGTTCCACTGTCTCGACCACAGCTTTGTCTCGGACTGCGATTTGTTCCATGGTTCTGCGCGATTCTATATATGGCAGCTGGGCGTTACAGGATGGTGTTTGCAGCACTCTGTACTTCGTATTCGTTACATGACGGCCGGGTGGCAATGAAGAGAAACCACAGCGGCTTACCGCAAAGAACATTGAAGTTGGTCCACCTCGTTTTGACGACGAATGTAATGTGTTTGAGACGACTGGTTAGGCAAAACACCGCACCCCCCCTCCCCCCTTGGAGGTTGTGGGCTGTTGTCCGAAGCGGGCGGCGTCCCCGACCAGCGAATGCAGGGATCCCTGACATTTGCATTCGCATGTGCAAAGCAGAGTGGCCCGGAAGCGCGAGGTGCAGCCCCGCGGCTGCGGCATCATGGATGAGGCACAACCACCCATGCCCATGTCCGGGTTGCAGTGCAGTCCCGCCTGCGGGCCCGGGCGGCGAGCAGCGGCCTTCCCGTTCGGGCCGCAAGCCATGTCTTGGGGAGGCGGCGGCGGCGGAGGAAGAGGAGGAGGAGGAGCCCAGGGCTCTCGACTCAGGAGCACACACGAGAACTGCGGAAGCCAGCCAGCCAGCCGGCCAGCCAGCCAGCGTCCTTTTGCCAGCTCCGGCGGTGGTGCTACTCGCGCCACCGCCCGGATATTGGCTGTCTCTTATACACATCTAGATGTGTATAAGAGACAGGAAAGGAACTGCGACAGCAGCCGGGGGCGGAGGGAGGAGGAGGGCCAGGAGGAGCAGGAGGAGGAGGAGGAGGAGGAGGAGGAAGCAGCCGAGCGTGACATGCACAGTGACGATGCTGTGGTCCTTGTGTCTCGCGGTGGCGCGCTGGGGATGGGCGCGGTGGCGCGCCTGAAGGGAGCTGGGAGAGGAAGGGGGAGGCGAGGGGACATGCATACATAATACCTACACTAATTAGGGCTGGGTGCCTGCTGGACTTTGTATGAAGCGTGTGGATGGGTAAGTACTTGAATGGGGCTCTTCTGTAGACAGGTGACAGGGGAAACCTGTACGCCTGCAAGGCGCAGCGAGACTGAGGCAGCAACAGACCAGAGAGAGTGTAAGTCGGTCAGTGAGAGAGGCGGTCAAGTTATTACAATACTTGGTACGAAACACGGCGAGCTCATCGGGGACGACTACGGCGACGACGACGACGACCAAACTGCAACGGGGAGTGCGCGTGCTGTGCGGCAAGGTGCGTGCAGCACATACATACGTATACGCAAACACAGCTGCAGATGCAGATGCAGATGTAGACGCAGACGTAGATGCATAAGCAGACGCATGTGCGAGAAAGACTGTCTCGTCTTCCTTTCTCTGTTCACTGTTGCCTGCCTGGTTGCCCATCCACCCACCCTGTGAGCGAGTGAGATTCGGTGTCGTCGACGGCGGGAACGAGAGCACGAGCATGGCTGCTTGCTTTCAACCTTTGCTTTCTTTCCTCGACCTCTCCCCAAGCCCCTTTACTCATCCGCCTCGACTCGCGGGACGTGTGCCGCCGATTGTAAAGGGGAAAGAAAGACAGAACTAGGCACTAGCCTCCGTTCCGGGTCCCGTTAGCACACCCCTCTTGACCACTCTCATACATGCGTACGGCGAGGTACCAAGCACAAAGTAGCACGAAGTAGCACGGCATTTGCTTTCTCGCACTTTGACGCCGTGCGCTGCTGCTGCCCCTCCACTCCTGCCCCGACGCCTGCTTGGCGCGCGCGGAGCATTCTCGCGGCGTATTTGGTGGTTTTGGGGAACACGCAGAGAGGTGTTGAGAATAGGGGTTTCGCACTCGAGGGCCGGCCGGTAGGTGTACTTTGTCTGTATGTGCCCGGGTCTGAGTCGACCTTTTTGTCTGGAGATGTTTGGACGTGTTATATCCAAGGCCATGGGCGCGGGCTTACACGACGACACATCTCTATTGCTTCACACTGCCTACCTACAGAGTAACTAAGTTAGGGGCTTCAAATCCCGTAGGATATACAACACCAATAGAAATACAAACACATCAACACGGTGCAGCTACAGGGCACACGGCGCAAGAGGGCGTTTCCCGAAAAGCAGTCCGCCCCCGAAGATCTCCGCGCTCCCACTTCCCGTGACACCCCGACTTACCGCACGCATAATACACCTTGCGCTCGGACACAGACAAGGTATGCACGCACTGTACGCACCTTTTCGTCTATAAGCACGGGGACGTACGGCCCCTTTTCTTCCACTTGCGTCACTCACCGTCGTACATACACAGCCTTGGCCTCCCTCCCGGGGCGGTAGCGGCGTACGTAGAGGGATAGCAGTAAAGGGCATCTTGAAGCGAGTCACGTCTTTCTCGTCCTCCTAGTGCAACACATCCAGTGCGGCATCTCTGTGACGCGCCCCCTCCGTTTCCAGTCTCTATCTTTCTTTTCTCCTCACTGATAGCTCCGGCGTGTCTCTCTCGCTCAAAAGAGTGGTGAGAGTGCGGGCGAGCGCTCCTCTCGCTTGGCCGCCCCTGCCCCCGTTGCTGAGTCGGCCCGCGGCGACGGGACGCGCGACGGTGAGGCGCTCTCCTCTCTCTTGTCCCCTGCCTTTGACCCCTGTGTGTTGATAATGAGACGGAGTCCCCGAACCCATTGGAGAGGAAGACGGAAGACCACGGGTGAGAGCAGAGCGCGGCATAGAGCAAGTATTATTGTACTTATCCTGTCCTTGATAATATGCTGCAGAGATCCCGGCACTTAGCACGCCAGTGCTATTGTCCTCTCTCCACGGCCCAGGGGCAGTGCCAACAGTGCAGAAGCGAACGCTGCGGCGCGCCCGCGCAACTGCAGGGTTCGGTTGGTTCCTTACGGGAAGCGCGGGCGTCCCCTTTCGCAGGGGCGTGCCTCCGGGCGGTCTCACCGCCAAGGATGGAAAAAATTCCCTCTTTTTTGTTCCTTTGGTGCAGGGCGCTTCGTGCTTTGTACGAGGCCGCTGGATAGTAGGCTGCTTCGTACCTCGTCCCTGGTCATGAGGCAAGGTGAGTGAGATGCCAAGATATGGGGGAGGAACAGACATCCCGTCGCACAACGCATACGGCACATCCATGCATGGATGCACGCACTGGGGACTCGGGACTCGGAAGACAAGGCAACCCAGCCCTGGCCTCCCCGTATTGCTATCCCTCCTGTAGCAAGGAAGAGCTGCAACGGCAATATATGTCTCTGGGTTCGAAAATACATAGCAGAGACAAAGATGGAAGGGAAGGAGGAGAATCGGCAGTGAAATGCTGATGCTCTCCACGTCTGGGGCGGAGAAACGACTGGTGCACCTTCGACCTCCGGCCGTCCTAGATCTCGGGTCCTGCCTCTCCGGCATCGAAAAAACAAGGGGGCGGCGTTACAGTTCGGGAAGCGGGAAGCGGGAAGCGGTCCGAAGCACCGACCAGGTGGCCGGGACATGCAACGCGACCCCCCCTTTTTTCCCATTCCCTCTTCCCCTCATCCTTTCCAAGCCCCCGGCCGACCCTGTAACCCTCCCCGTCTTCTTTTCTTTTCTCTCGCCATAGAAGCGCGGGAGGATGGCAGAGCAATGGGAAGGGGGGAAACAGAGGGACCAGAGTCCGCCGTCGGTTGAGTGATCAATACGCATCGCAGGATACATGCACCCCCCTTTTCGAACACGGCTCACGAGGGTGGTAAGTGTATATATATATATTTATACGTTAAATGCCAGACAGACGGATAGACAGAGAGGCAGATACATAGACATGACGCGGAGCGGACGCCCGACACCCTGCCGAGGAACATGGGGATGCACGCGCGAAAGCCCAGCAGACGTACGAATACGTTCGAACACGCACGTTCACCCGTCACGCTCCGGGGCGCTGCTGCGGCAGTCGCGCCCGAACAGTGCGAATGCAGAATGCCCCCCCCCCTTTTCAAGCACTCCCCTCCGAGACAGTCGTTCGTTCGTTCGCCCGTTCGTTCGTTTCCTTCCGGCCCTGTGCGACCCCAGATTTGCCCCCTCCCCTCTCTTCTCTCCCCATGTCACCGCCAGCCAGCCAGCGACAGCGAAGAGCAGGCAGCCATGTACGGATGCACATTCGAATGTACTTGACACTCTGTGCTTTGCTCTGTGCCATGGCAGCGACTCGCGCCGGTCCCCCCCCTCTCCCCTTTCTCGTTTCGTCCGCCCTGATGCTGCCAGACGTCAAAGGACGCGCCACAATTGATAAAGGCAGCTGTCGCCTCCCCCCCTTTTGGTCCTCGCCTACCCGGCCGTCCGCCCACCCCATG